AGACTGGGTTACAGAATAGAAACCAGTGGTATAGTGATGGTTTCTAAAAGTAATGCTTCAGATAGCTACATTTTTTTTTTTTTTTGCTAGGCAGTAGGGTTAAGTAACTTGCCCAGGGTCACACAGCTAGGTAAGTGTTATGTGTCTGAGGCCGGATTTGAACTCAGGTCCTCCTGACTCCAGAGCTGGTGCTCTAGCCACTGTGCCACCTAGTTGCCCCAAAATAGTTAATTCTTGTTAGAATACTGCATGTAGTTTTGATTATAAAAGCTAGGGGAGGGAAGGCAGAAGGAACTTAAAGTGACTCCCCAGGGTCACACAGCTAGCACATGTCAGAGATTGGATTTGAATTCAAGTCTTCCTGACTCTGAGCTTCTATCCATTATGGCAGTGAGGATGCCGAGATGGTTATTATAGTCCAAGTATAATGTGATTAGGGCATGAATCAGGGTTGTGCTTGTGGGAATGATAAGGTAAGGCCTTGTATTTAAAATTGCAGGATTTAACTGATGGTCTAGGTACCAGCAATAAAGAAAAGAGCAGTCTTTTTGAACTATACTTCACCCTATTCCTCTGTCCTTTATCCATCACCTGTGTTAAGTACCCAACGTGCCTTGCTTAATTGTCTAACAAAACTTGTAATTAAACACTAGGCTGTTTCATGTGGGTTATGTATTGAAATAGACTTTTACTTTACTGTAAAGTTAGGAATTAAAAAATATGCTCTAGCCCATAAAATAAGAGGTCTCTTTCAAATGTCAACTGAAAATGTGAAAAACTTACTATATTGAAAGGATTTTACTTTTTAGTCCTATGAAGGAAATAAATTGGCATTAGCAGTAGTAGTAATTGTGCTTCCATTTGTATGGCACAATAGTATTTGAGTGTTTTTTCCTCACACTAATCCTGTGAGATATTATCTCCATTTTATATGCAGAAACTGAGGCTCAGAGTGGTTTAAGTCATGTATCCCACAGACTTGTAATTAGTGAGAAGCATGTGAACCCCCACGTCTTTTCCTTCTAAATAGTGTCTTTTTTACTGCAACATGATCCCTCCTATTTTTACAGTGTTTCTGAAAGGTTGTACTTAGAACCAGTTGCTCCAGATTTCTGTTGGATATATTTAGTGGTTGTTTTCCAAGTAAAGGGGCAATATGCTTCCATGTAATAGGAAGATTGTTCAGTGACTGAGTGTATAAACAAGTAATCAAATGCAGGAATTTTCAGTGGTTTTTACCCATGTGTTATCAGAAATAAACTAAAGATTTTAGTCTATTCCTCAGTCTTGGATTTCTTGAGTACTGAAATATTTTTTAGAGATAAATTTCACGTGCACAATTTTTTTTTTGGGTTTCATTTGAGACTTAAAGCAGTAGAAAAAGAAAATTCATTGGCTTCAATAACCAAATTTATGACAATTATATTTGCTAATTACCTTTATTCCCATCAGAGATATAAGTGCTTTTCCTTTTGTGTGTTGCTGTGACACAACAATTTAGGTGTGTTTCAGTTTTTTCCCTTCACTCTGTGTCTCTGAAACATTCTCTTGGTGGGGGAGTAGAGGGAGCAGAGAGCAGTTGAATTACTAGTTTAACTCGCTCATGGATTGAAGCATGGAAACCTTGCTGTTTTCACCAGTAGCTGAGTAGTTCCTTTACAGTTACTCTCACTGCATCTCTCTTTCCACCCCTCCCCCAGCCCTCCATATAAAGGGGATTTAAAATTTTTTGTTACTGTACCACTTCACCTTTATAATCACTATCCCTATGACCTTTTGATATGTTCCTGAATAGTATCAGAACATAGTTGCTAAATAAAATTTAATACAATGTAATACACATTTTAAATTACTTTTTAACTCCTTTTTAGCTGTACCCAAGAATTAAACCACGACAAAGGAGCTTGGCATGAAACCTCATGGAATCTTTATGAAGTACTAATCTGTGTTATTAAAAAGAAGTAATGTGATTGGTGTGGACACAATTTGCAAGTCTTTATTTCCATGACAATATAACTAACTTGAAAGCAATGAAGAATGTGCTTTAGAAGCAAATGAAGGATTGACTAATTCAATTGAGAACCTTCTACACACTGGAATGGTGCTTATAAGCAAGTGGTATTTGCCCTTTTGGGGTAAAGAAACTCCATACTTCAGCATGTGGCACTCATAAGGACAATGATGCAGTGACATCTAAATGTTCTGTTTTTTAAAAAAAAGGAAAAACCCTTTTATTCAGTAGAAAATTCACATCCTGCCTAAGTGACTTTATTTTGGAGCCTGCCTCAGTAATTGACTGTGATAATCTTGCGCACACCAGAATGGGCTATCGCCATCTCAGCCTGCCCAGAAGCACCGAGGAGCACCTTTTCATAAGCAGAGCATTTTCTCAGATGACTCAGTTGAAGTTGTGAAAAGACAGTACAATAGTCTGTATTGACCTGAAGAACCATTATCTAGTCTTAAAGTGAGCAATAACTTTATATGAGTGCTGTAGCATCTTAAGATTTACACACATATTTTGAATATTATGCTATATTACATGTAATTTAGATTTAGAATCTTGTTTTTCACCTGAATTTTGCGTCTGTATTTATTGTCTTTTGTATTTTGGAATTTAAATGTAGAAACATTCTGTAGACTTACCTTTAAAATTTGTCAGAATTTTATCTGATTTTATTTTTTTGTCAATTGTGATAAAATAAAATTTTTTTGTCTCTTTAGCTTCTGCCTCTGGTTTAAGTTCTTGGTATCAAAAGCAAGCATTGACTAAATACGGGACTACCAACTTCTTGAATATCTTAAACAACTCTGTAAAGCAGTTAACTGATGTATTACAGAAATGTGACCCCTTAAATTTTATTCATCACCAATAACAATGATGATGATAGCTCACACTTATATAGCACCTGCAAAGTGTTGTACATGTGGCCCTGGGAGGTAGGTGCTATTATTATCTCCATTTTACAGGTGAGTGAACTGAGGTTGAGAGCCTAAGTGTGTTGCCTAGGGTTACATGGCTAGTAATAAACATCTGAGGCAGTTTGAAATCAGGTCTTCCCAACTCCATGTTCAGCTCTCTTAAAGTTTGTTCATGGGGTGAGTGATGAAATCCCAGCATGTTCATTGAAGGCTACCTTTTAGCAGACTAATTTTGTGTGCTCTTTACATACTCTGAATCATAGATTTAGAGTTAGAAGGATACTTAAGATGCAACTGGTCTATTTTTACCGGTGGAGGAAATAGAAGTTCAGAGGCTTGCCCATTCTCATAGATGATCTTTACATCAGCTGTCTGAGATAGGTAGGACCTGTGATTATGTGGATCTTAATAGGCCGTGACTTACCCAGTCACCAGGGTATTTAATTACTGCAAAGACACAACTAAAAACTAGGTCTCCTGACTCCAGACTAGTGTTCTTTTCACCATACAACATGAGGTAAATGACAGTGGAAGGGTACTAGAAAGCTCAGAACATGAGATCATCATGCCATTTTGGTGTTCCTTAACTATTCCTTAACTTTCCAAGAAGAGGGATGGAACTAACGAGATTTTTATAGGTTTGGAGCATCCCAAGGGTAATGATACATAACTAATGACCTAAACAACTTTGGAACAAAATCCTTGCTGTAACAGATTCCTTCATATTGTGGGTCAAATCCTAGTTCCTGTGTATTGCAGTAATGAATGTATATTGCACATCTCATCTTAGTACATTATCAATTAATTGCTTTACAGAGTTGTTTAAGATACCCAAGAAGTTGGTAGCAATGTCAGACTAAGGCTGTTTCTACAATTTTTAATATAACTCATAGGTAAAGCAAAGTATGTTCCTTTTCCAAGGAACCCTCACATCTAAGCTTCTTGAGAAAAATAAGCTACAGAAATCAGAGCTGCTCTTTATGATTAGATCATTCATCAGTACTGTGTAGTTCAGTGTTGTTTACAGAAAAGTGACTTGTTTTGTTCACGCATGGATTTGCAAAGATCATTGCATTGGGTGGCTGGAACAGAACTAAAACAACCATACATGCTTTTGACCTGTTCCCACTGGTCTTCCTTGCTAAGAAATACCATGTTATAATTTCTTTATTCTAATGAATCATACTTATTTGAAAGAAAGGGAAACGAGATGAGTTTTTTTTTTTGTAATATTGCTTATATTTATTTGATGATAAAGTTAGGAAATAACCTTCCTGATGAACAGCTATTGACCTTGACTGCACAAACAAGCCAACTGAATTCTTGAAGTCAACAGTTGCCAAAGTATTGAGCCAGCAAACAGCCTGCTGTGTCCTTTGTATTCATCATCAATTTAAAAATATGATAGTCTGGCTTTGGTGCACAGTCTTCTGATTGGTCCAGAGCTGCAGTTAATTAGTATAAAATACCTAAACGCTTCACTCTATATGACATTAAGATCACCAGATTCTTCTGCTCTAGTACTTCTTGGGGTTAAAGAACGATCTGCCATTTTCAGGATTGCTTAGCCCAAAGGACTTGAAGGGTAGAGGCAAAATCATAGGATTCAGAGCCGTTAGTGACCTTATGTAATCACCTAGGCCAACCCCCTCATTTTACAGAAGAGGAAGCCAAGGCCTAGATAAACTGACTTGTTCAAGGTCATATGCCTTGGAATTGCCAGGACTTTAAACCCAGACCCTCTGATTCCAAGGATCCAGTGCCCTTTCCATTACCTATACTGCCTCTTTCTCATCTCAAATCTTTAAATGTCTTAAGTCAGGTTATTTCATGGGATTTAGAGGAAGGGACTTTTGATGTAATCTAATCCAACCCCCTCATTTTACAGATATGGAATTGAGACCCAGAGAGCCAACTGATTTGCCCAAGGTGACTTTAGGTAGGAAGCAGATACGAGTCTGGGTATTCTGACGTCAAATCCAGTGCTCTTTCCTTTATACCACATGGACTTTCTGATATGTTTAATATTTTCCACTTTCTTTAAATGAAATGATGACCTCATTGTCACTTCTGGGATGTCAGCTAAATTTGCAAATGTAAATACTTTTTATTTACATTTACATTTTACATATTACATTTACACAATGAAGGGTTGGTTCCTGTAAAAACAGCTTCATGTTTGCATAGGTATTGGGTTTTTCCCTGCATTTTTCTTGACTTAATATTGTTATACATATGTAAGCATGTAAAAAAAAAAGTATGTCCTATTTACAAAATTAAAGCTTTTATTGAGGTTGCAAAGGGCTAAACTACACTTTTTGCATATAATGTAATGAGTCTACAGATCTCTTGCACTGGGTATCTGGAAATTTTGATCTCTCAAGTACTTAAGACAATGCTACTTTTTGTCAGTCCTAATCATTAGTTCAAGCAGTTGCTATTCATAAACTCAAGATGCAGATCAAAACTAGGACATAGTGTTTCTTTTATGGAAGATTAGTCTTCAGGTGACCGTAATTTCATGAGAAGTCTTCAGTAGGGTCAGTTATTATTACATCAAAGGACTGAAAAACACAGCCACTGTAAGAGAAGAAGGGAAAAAAAAATATTTCAGTGACCCCCCACCCTCTTTCAGGTCAGGGTTACATGTTAAACACTTTGTAATGTTGTAGTTAGCTTCTTTTGAATAAGAAGTATTGTATATTAGAAAAATTGTGCACATAAGAGATTTCCTTACGGGCTAACAGTCAGTATATCAATGAACATTTTAGAGCACATTCCCACTTAAAAGACCTAAATTCTTGGCTTAAAGTAGATAAACATTCTATACATTATTTGAAACTGGTTATCAAACACTGTCAAAGATGTTCCTGCTGCTGTTTACTCATTTCTGTGCCTTGGCCATCCTCCAATCCCGAAATGGACTCCCTCCCTACCTCTCCCTGATTCAGAACATTTTCTGATGCTCATAAGCTGCACAGTGAAGTGGGCAGAACCATAACAATTTCGATCGTAATAACATCAACACTGTAAAAATGAGTAACTTGGAAAGACTCAAGGACTCTGATCAATGCAATGACCAATCATGCTTCAGGGCAACTGGAAAAGTGATGATGAAGTGGACTGCCTCCTTCCTGACAAAGAGGGGATGGACTCAAGATGCTGAGACACTTTTTTTTTTTTTTGATTTGGCTAATATTGGGATTTGGTTTGCTTCTGCATATGTGTTACAAGGGCTATTTATTTTTAGTGGGAAATGAGAGGCTTGAGGAAAGGAAAATAAATGCTAGTTAGTTGAAAAAAGTGGCTCGTATTTGACTACTTTGCATATGTTTGTATTTATTAATTACATTTATGCTATATAATCAGTTAATAAACATTTACTAAATGTGTACAATGTGCCAGGCACTGTGCTAAGCATACATATTTTTATATGTGCTTGTTTATTGGTACATTCCAAGTTGATTTTTTTCTTTTTTCTTTTTTTTTTTTGTACTTTTATCTCCAGTGCCTGGTACATAGTGGGCACTTAATAAATACTTATTGTTTGATTTATGATCCATGTAGCTTAGCATTTTCACTTCCTTGGGGCTCAAAGCAGTCACATAAAAAGTTCATCTGAAGAACAAGTATCCCTGGAAGGGAGATTTAGATGAACATTCTTCATACTTGGAAACACTTGAGTGTGGGAAACTGAAGGGTGAGGTGATGAGGGGAAAGCCAGGGGTGTGGGATGTTTTCATGACACTTGGAAGAAGGAGGGTGGGAAAGGATTGGGTAGATAGACAAGTTTACTAAAACAGAAGCAACAGTGATACGCTGACAGGTAGGGGAAGTTCAGGAGGAATGGAATCATGACGGATAAATAAGGATAATATGGGTAGAGTTCTCAGACCTTAACATATGCCATGTTTTAAGCTTCAATTACATTGTGACTATTTTAGATTACAATCTTTAAGGGCAGGGGCTGTTTTCTAGATTCCATGTGGCACCAAGAATGTTAATGTTCAATTATGAGCAGTTTTAAAATGTGTACTTTGTTGGCCCAAGGTGTTTCCCCATTATATAACAGAAGAGGCGTATGTGTGTACACATATATATGTGTGTATGAATGCATATATATGTATGTATATATACACATACACATATACACATATATACACACATACATATACATACACACACACATATATACGCACACAATAAGTTGAAACCTCATCCAGATGTCCAGTATTCTAGGAAAATTGTCGGTCCATTAAATAAGTCACTCCTATCTCCCTCTTCTCTCCAAAGTACAGGGATGAAACTACCTGCCATTCCACCCAATGCTGCCATTAGACCAGCCCTATTGTTCCCATCAACTCTATCAGAGCAAGCGCAGGTTCCTCAGTCCCTGATGAGAAATCAAAATTGAGTAACTGTGATAGAAATTCAAACTGGAGTCCGGTGTTAATGAAAAAGGACTCAGCTTCAGTTCTCCCTCACTCTTGTTACTCCTGATGAGATGAAAATGGAAAATTTTGAGCTCTGCCTGTTGTCAGGTTGATGTGTCAGGCAACCAAGAAAACACATTTAATTTGCATTGCTGGTGATTTCGGTGGAGGCCTCAGTCGGGGCTCCAGGCATATGTATTGTTCTGCATCTTAAAAACCTATCTCCTGCTATTTAGCTTTATTCTCAGTGGATGAAAGGGATGGAAGCAAAGGGGAGGGTGGAGAACACCACCAAAAAAACTTGCTTAACATGAAATTTGACCCTAAGGTGTCGTCTTCATAAATAAAAAAGAAGGGAGAAAAATCACAGTAGGAAGAGAGGATGACAGTGAATAATGAGCCTGTAACAAGGTCCGGGAGATTTATGGGCAAAAGGAGGAAATGCTCAGAGAGCTGGGTGGACTGGATTTAAAGTGTATGCTGGGCACAGGCATTTATTTAAATCAACCTGTGTCTTTAGAGGTAGTATGTTTTTAAAAAGATCATCTGAAAAAAAAGATCATCTGAGGTGGAAGTCAGTCCTCCACACAGCAGGGAACCACCTACTATATATTAATCAATATTGCCTTTCTTTAGCTGTGACCCACCAAAAAAGACTAACTCAGCCTTTTAGCCTTGGTCTATACTTAAGCTAAAAGCCCTTGGATGTATTTCTTGGAGTGAGGAACCAATGACTGGTTGTTCCACACCTCCAAATAAAAGTGCACTGTGGAAGCTTGGAACCACAAAAAAAGCAGTAACTACTTTCAAGGTCCATTCCTTTTAGAGATTTAAAAGGCAGGTCAAGAAGTGCTAGGTCCCTGTGTCATCCCCTAAATAAAGAGGTCTCCTTCTGAGGAATAAGATGTTGGTAATAAACCTTGCCAGCTGCTGACTTACACTGGTAAGATTGAGTTCTATTGTTCCGGTGTTCTCCGGGTCCAACTGCTTGAATACCTCTGTAAAGGAAGAGGAGAAAAAGGATATTATGAGCAAAGAGGTTGGAATACAGGCAATTTCCCCTTCATATGCCTAGTTCAAAACCACCAAGTCTTTAGTGATGATTTTGTTGACAAAGCACCTTTTTTTTCTCTTGCCTCTAAATTAAGAAGGAAGGAATGTCACCCTCATATTACTAAGCAAACATCTGTTTGGCTCTGATGCTCTCACCAGCTGTGAAGGGCAATCTGCTTCTGATGCTAAGAGAACCAAATGGATCTTTTGCCCCAAATGCCCACTTACTGAACAGTGTTTCCAGTCGAACTAAGCACCGAACAAAGTTATCAAAGTCGATGATGAGCTCGTCATCTGCAAACCGAGCTACGATGACCTGATGGAGCTGATAGGGTAGCTTGAAACCTAAGGTTAGAACAAACAAACAATCTTTGTCTTAGGTTTTCTATAATCCGGTGCTAGGTGCTGCCCCACAAAGTATTTACTTGGTGGCAGTGTATGTGATATGGTCACAAATGAAGACCAGGGTCTATGATTTTCTTCTGAAAGCGGGGTTATTTTTCTTGGGGGCTTTGGCTCTTTGAAACCAATTCCAGTTTTCAGAAGCTGTGTCAGCTGCTGTTTCTTTGGTTTCCAAACTGCTTTCCTGGGACTCAGCTCCTGTCTGGTTCTTTGTCCTATTTCCTGTCTGTTTCCTTTGTTTTAATCAAACCTAGCCCCTTTGTTCCCATCATCCATCCCCATTCTCCATAATCTTTCCATGCGCTCCATATTTTTAGTATATTTTTAAAATTCCACTTACATAATAGCTTTTTTCATCTTCAGAATCACCCTCATCATTAGATTTTTTCAGGAAACCTATTCTTTTCTACTTTGAGACTCCATATGATCATACATTTTTTCCATGACTGTTTTCCCAATCTCCTTCACCACATTTGTTTTCTTGCAGTGACAATGGGACTAAAGTCCTAGAGTCAAGAAATTTAAAGCTATAAAGGACTTCAGAGATTACCTAGTATAATCCTTATCTGAAGCATCCCCTCCTTCTACAACATTCCAAGCAAGGCTCTAGTTAGAGAGCTCTAATGATGGAAGAAAATGCACTACTCAGGCATAAATGGATAGAACACAGGACTAGGTGTCAGGAAGACCTGAGCTCAAACCCTGCTGCATACACTTATTAGCTGTGTCACCTGGGGCAAGTGCCTAAGTTTCCTCACCTGTGACATGTGGATAATAATAATGAGGTTGTTGTAAGGATCAAATGAGTTAATACACGTAAAGTGCTTTACAAAATTTAGAGAGCTATATAACTGCTATTATTACTCTAGGAGTCAGACCATCCCATTGTGGGGACATCCTTAATTTTTACAATGTTCCTTTTTTTTTTTTTACTGAGCTGAAATCTGCATTTCTCTCCTTTCCGCCCATTGCTCCTAATTCTATCCTCAGACCCAAGCAAAACACATTCAATCTCCCTTCTACGTGACAACTTGTCTTACATGTTAAGAGAATAAATGTGTCCCTTGTACATCTTCTCTAGGCAAAACATTCTCAGTTCCTTTCGTCTCCTCACCCTACTTCTGGATATGTTACAGCTTATCAAAGTCCTTTCTAAACTATGGCTGCCCAAAAGAATTGGAAATTGAGAGGATGCCCATCAATTGGGGAATGGCTGAGCAAGTTGTGGTATATGAATGTGATGGAATACTATTGTGCTATAAGAAATGATGAGCAGGCTGACTTCAGAAAAACCTGGAAAGACTTGTATGGTCTGATGCTGAGTGAAGTGAGCAGAACCAAGAGAATGTTGTACACAATAACAGCCACGTTGTGTGATGACTAATATTGATAAACTTAACCCTTCCTGGCAATACAAGGATCTAAGACATCTCCAGAGGCCTTGTGATGGAAAATGCTATCCACACCCAAAGAAAGAACTATGGAAGCCAAATTGTTATTTTTTTCTCCTCTGTTGAGTTTTGTTTCCTCTTTCTGATGGTTCCTCCTATTGGTTTTAATTTCTACTTACAACATCACTAATGTGAAAATATGTTTAATATGAATGTAAATGTATAGCCTATATCAGATTGTGTGCCGTCTTGGGGAGGGTGGTGGGGAGGAAGGAAGAGAAAAATTTTAAACTCAAAAGCATGTGGAAGTGATTATTGATAAATCAAAATAAATTAATAAAAAAAAAGAAGAAAAAAAATAAATAAAATATGGCTGCCCAGAATGGAACCCAACATTCTTGCTGTGGTAGAGGGATTCTTGTTCAGGATGAGGCCGGCCTCAATGACTTCTGAGGTTCCTTTCAACTCTGTTGTTTTGTGGTGTAGTCTGAATAGGCCAGAGTACAGCAGGACTATCACTACCCAGTTCTACATAATCCTAATTGAAATTGGTTTTTTTTTTTTTTGAGGCAATTGGGGTTAAGTGACTTGCCCAAGGTCACACAGCTAGTTAAGTGTCTGAGGCTGGATTTGAACTCTGGTCATCTTGGCTCGAGGGCTGATACTCTAACCACTCTGCCACCTAGATGCCCCTCCTAACTGAAGTTTAAAAAAAAAAAAACAACCAGCTCTCCTAGACAACTTGGCTAAATGGGACCCTTTGGGAAGCACTATGTGGGAACCCTTCTGGGCCTCAGTTTCTTTCTCTGTAAAATGAAAAAGTTGGCCTAGATAACCTATAAGAGGTCCCTTCCAGCTCTAAATAACGTAAGTCTATGAATTTTTTTTAATCATTTTTAGCATGGCTGGCCTGCTAGAGTTTTCTCAGAGTCTTAGATTCAGAAAGAGAACTAGGGGGAGATTCTATACCAAGTCACATTTCACCAGTTATCCTTTTGAAAGTGGGGGAGAAAGAGATGTAGTGGCTACTTTATTTTGGGGGGCAGTTTACTAGATTTTCATTAAAGAAGATGATTTGCAGTGATTCTGAAATAAATGAAAGTCGTTAGGATGTGTTACCTGCTTCTTCTAATGCTTTACGCATCTCATAGGCATTCATGGTGCCAGACTTATCAACGTCCATCTCCTTGTAAATTTTCTGGAACAAGCAAAGTAGACATGAAGAACTTGACTTTTTAAAGCACATTTAATCTTCTATGTTTCATGCAAAGCAGGAATATTTTTTTTCCCAAACAACTACACACTTTCAACTTAATACTATCAATAATCTTAGAAGAATCAATTGGTTTTCTGATTTAGTTGACTGAGAAAAGTGAATTCTGCAGCCATGTACTCCAGCTAGGTCTGTGTGTTTCCCTCTAAGTATGAATCCCACTCTGTGTTCTGCTGACCCGAGAAAGCTTAAAATCTTGGGCTTTGGGGCCTAACATTTTTAGTCATCACATATTTGGTAGTTTTATATTATAAATTACCACCATTTCTTGCCTCACATTTTCCCCTCCTTCTGCACTCCCTAACCCCTTCCTGGAAGGGTCTCTCTTACTACCTATTAGGCTCTCCTTTATCAAGTCTCAACATGGCTTCCAGCTCCTTCGTGATGCCTTCCCTGACTCCTCTGGGAAGAGGTATTTTTGTCTCCTCAAACTTCACTTGCTTTTTTGCCTGAACCTTTCTTCATATCCATCACCCTCTGTTCCTTGTGTGTATGTTTAGTTCAGATGATAAACTTCTTGACAGCAGGACTCTATTTCTGGCCCTGGCTTTGTCTCCCCAATGCCTTACACAGAGTAGATCCTTAATGGCTTGTTGAACTAAATTGGCCATTCTTTATCAACCAGTCAGAAGGTCATTTGACAACAGTGCATTATCACTGAGCCAAATTATGCCAACTCTCTTCTCTCTGCAAGTTCTAAATGCCCAACTGGCAAAATATTGAGGAATCATTTGAGGGTGCGCTTCTTTTTAAATTTTTGGTTTATTTTTATGAAACTGAAAATCTCTACTAGGTACAACTTGCTTTTTTTTTTTCTAAGTACATAATAAATTTAACATGTTAGTTCCCAAACTGCACTGCTTATCTGTCTCTTCCTATACTTCCTTCTGCATTTTAAAATGTTTCATTGGTGCCCTTTTTCCTTTCCTCTAAGACTGAGCTGCAGAGAAAGTGCTGACCTTTACTGGTAGAGAAGTTTTATCACTTGGGAATTCCCTATACCTGGTGCTACCTTATGACTACCATTAAACCCCTCTCCTTTCTATAATTACTACCCTGCCCCATCCTGCCCAGAACAACCAAGTAGCGTCAAGTAAAGCAAATTTGGCTAGTATTTCTGAATTGCTTCTAATTGTTTATGTACATAGTAGAGGTCCAGGAATGAAGCATAGAAAAGACTTATTTAACCAAGAAAATCTTGATAGTTGTGTGACTGTGGTAGTAGTGGCCAGCCCTGTCCTCCACCCAGCCTCTTCCCTACTATAGGTGAAATCAAGCCGTAAGACAATACTCCAAGACAATACCCCCCCAAAAAAGTGCCTTGTTTTCTAAAATTATGTATGCACAGAGATACATTTGTGCCCCCAATTTTTCCTTGTGATATAAATGTAATTTTTTAAAAAGTGTTTATAAATTGCATACTCCCAAATTTTGAAGCATTAAACCACCACACTGATAGTATCCTGATGTGAAGGTAGTGGAGTTATCTCCCAACCTACCACCCAGCGTGCCTTAAATCATACCTGGTATTTTTGTATTTTTGACCAGAGAAGGTAGAACTCCTTTAGACCCAGTTTACCACTCCCATCAACCTGCCTTTTATTAAGGAAAGATCTTTGTACAATGTGGAATTTTGAGATTCAAATCCGAGTGCTCTTACTAGTCAGGGTCTATTCAGGAAAATCCTACCAAAGGACTCATATTGTCTGGGTTAATGTTTGCTGGCCCTAAACCTAACCTTGGAAGTTTGGGAGAGGAGGCAAAAATGGGGACATGGACTCCTACGGGCTTGGGTTGCTCTTCTGATGTTACCATCCCTTCTGCCACTCAGTGATGGGTCGACGTTTTACCAAGGATTTTTCCTGATGTCTCGTTAGGTTTTTCGTAAAGGGACTGGCTAATCAGCAGGCAACGGGAATCCTGCAATGAGGTTTTTCCCAGATTGGGAAAAGTAGCCAAGGTGCCACTTTTCCTTAGCTTAGCGAAGTGCCAGGTAAAAGGCTGGTGGAGGTGAGTGTGGGTGATAAACTAGAAATGATTATAGCAGGAAGAACCCCATCATCCAGAAATTGAAAAGGAAACATTTAGACCACTGGATCAACAGGTTCATTTTTGAAAAAAATTGGCTTAGGGATATGCTGTCAGGGTTATTAGGCTGGTAGCTGAGGAGAATGCTACAAACATAACTTACGTAGATTTAAGCAAAGCATTTGACAAAATATGTCATGCTATTCTTGCAGACACGAGAGAAGTGTGGGCTGGACAACAGTATAGTAGATGGATTCAAAACCTGTTGAATATCCAGACCCCAAGAGGAGACATTGATGATTTGACAGCATCAACTTGAATACTGGTCTCTAGAGAGCTGCCACAGGGATCTGTCCTTGGTCCTATTCTATTGAACATTTTTATCAGCAACTTGCCCTCAGCAGAGAGGACATTAGCTTATGGAACCTGCAGATGTTAAAAAGCTGGGAAGAAAGAGAGTCTGGATCCAAAAAGATTTTGACAGGCTAGAATGCTGGGCCAAATCCAAGAAGATGAACTTTAACAGGAGTAAATGTAAAGTCTTATATCGGTGTAAGGTTAAAAAAAACTAACTTCCCAAGTATAAGCTGGAAAAGGCATGTTTGGGCAGCCTTTCATTGGTAGATCTAGGGATTTTAATGGATTGTGAGCTCAAGAATGTTTATTGCATTGGGTTGACTGAGTTGGCAATTTAATTTAATTTAATTCAATCTTAGGTTGTATTAAGACAGGAACAGTGTCTAGGTGTAGGGAGTAGTAATCCCTCTGTACTTAGCCCTGGTCAGACCACAACTGAGGTTATTATGTTCAGTTCTCAGCACTACATTTTAAGAAAAACATTATTAAGACTGTCCAGAAAATGACAACCAGGATGGTGGAGGGCTGTGAGATCATGCCATATGGGAATTGGTTAAAAGAACTGGGGATATTTAGCTCTGACTCTGAGAGGATCCTTGGGGAAGACCAGCATGATATTAGTCTTCGAGTATTTGAAGGGCTGTCATATGGAAGAGGGATTAGATGCATTCTGCTTGGCCAGAGAAGGCAGACTGAGAAGCAATGGGTGGAACAGAGTGTAGGCTTGATTTAGGCTAAACTTCCTGACAATCAGAGCTATTCTGATGTGGAATGGACCACCAAAAGAGAGAGTAGGTTCCCTCTCTGTAGAGGTCCTCAAGAAAAGGCTGGATGATGGCCCCTGGTCAGGTCTGTCATAGAGGGAGTTTTTGTTGGGAGGTGGGCTGACCCAGATGGCTTCTGAGGTATCTCCCCACCCTGAGATTCAGTGAATAGTAGAAACACATTCACTCAGGAAACAATCTGGACAAAACAGGATGACCCAGGAGTCAGTTTCCTTAAAGGAAGTAGACCTGCTTCTTTTTTCTTCCTGATTCTATGTGTGTCCTGTTAGGGTGACATCTCTCCTACAGAAGCCACAACAGAAGCCCATGATTCAGGGAGGGGACCCATGTTTCACTTCTCAGACAAGCTGGACATTTTTGAGCCTGCAGCCTCTCTAATCACCTTTCAAATTCTACTTTCTTTCCCCCTCCCCACTCCTTTCTAGAAGGAGTGTTGCTTCCTGCCTTCCCAGTCTTTTTATTTTAACCCCAGGAGTTAACGAATTTCTTTCATGACCTCTCATGACCAAGCTCACAGATATACGTTCAGCCTCAGTGATCCGATGCCACTTCTTCAGCCACAGGCAGCATCTGTACAAAGCCCCGGTTCTGAGTTCCCTAGCACATGTTTAAGGATACATCTAGCATGTCAACCATGATCTTGCACGTCTCGATGCTGAAGCCATCCGACTTGATATCTGGACCTAGAAGATGGAGAAAGAAAGTCAGCTCTTGGGTGTTTTGAGTGTGAACTCCTGGAGGGCAAGGGGGTGTACTACAGGAACCTAATTTTGTTCTGTATGGTGCCTAGCAAAGGCCAGGTGAAAAGAAGCATTGGATAATTTTTTAAAATAAAGGAATAAGAAGTAGTTGGACTATTTATATGGTATTAAGGCCCAGAGAGTGCCCCTTGTGGATGTGAGACATAAATGGGGGGAAGCAGAGACGTGTTTTCAATTAGGCTATGCCCTCATAACTAAGGAAACAACTAGGCTAGAAACCAACCAATACTAATAAAAATAGCTGAAATTTTAAAAACGCACTTATTAGCTGTGTGACCCTGGGTAAGTCGCTTAATTGGTCTGTGCCTCAGTTTCCTCATCTGTAAAGTGAGGGAGCGGACTTGATAATCTCTGTGGTCTCTTTCCACTCAACCTCTCTCACATGATTCTATTAAAGCATGGCTCTATGCATTCCATGGAGTGTTAGGACTGTCTGTGAAAAGCCACAGGAAGGAGTGAATTTTGCTTGTTCTGTTATTTTTAAAAGACAAAAAACACAAAAAAATCTCCATAGAAATGTATTCACCTTGCTAGAGACATGTGCAGTTATCTCAGGGCATAGAGTTTCCTTGGAGCTGCCATCTTGGTCACCTATGACCTTAGAAATAGGGGACCTTGATATGGACCTGTTTATAGTCTGAGTATGGCTTTTTCAGAGTCTCGTTTCTAGGGAAATGCATGTGTTAGGTCTGCAAAGGACTACATGGGCAGGAGTTGTGTGTGTGTGTGTGTGTGTGTGTGTGTGTGGAGAGGTGGGAAGGCTGTGGAGTGAAGAGGGGATGGGCCCATGGCTAGGAGCCCGGCATCACCAGTTAGAAAGGGGAAGAGTATGCTGAGCTCAGAGCCACATGTGGGGCAATTAATACTCTGTAGCAGAAAGGAGGTTTCCCTATCCTGCATTCCCCTTTTGTCCATCCATCTGTGAATTAACAATGAGGCTTTTGGTCTTCACAGACCCGTGATTACCACACATCTGAGACACTGCCATGACCTCACTGTGCCTGGTGGCCTTTGTGGTAAACACCACCTCATTTCCCACATGGCAGGGAAGCCTTGTTGGGTTGGCTTCACCACTGCTTGAGGTTGTGTGTGTCTGGACCTGGGGACATCTAAACTTTAGCCATGTTAAAGTCATTTTAAACTTTCTTCTCTACTGTACTGGGTGTTCCTGGTTGAGCTGCATAAGCTGTAACTTGTAACTTTTTTACATGTATATATATATATACACACACATATATATGTACACAAACACACATATATACATATACATATATACGCATGTATATATACATGCATATATACATGTATAGGTGTATATATGTGTGTATATATATATATATATATGTATTAGGTATTCCTGGGTTGGGCTGCATAAGCTGTAACTTGGTTCATACAGGACCAGAAGGACCTTTTATCTCTGCTTTTATGGGATCCTTGACACTGATATAAAGGCAGCTAGTTGGTACAGTGGATAGAGTGCTGGGCCTAGGGTCAGGAAGACTTAGCTTCCTCAGTTCAAATCTGGCCTCAGACACTTACTAGCTATGTGACTCTGGGTAAGTCACTTAACCTCTGTTTGCCTTAATCCACTGGAGAAGAAACTGACAAACCACTCCAGTATCTCTGCCAAGAAAATCCCACGGACAGTATGGTCCATAGGGTCACAAAGAGTCAGAAACGACCAAACAACTAAATAACAACAACAACAACAACAACAACAACAAATGATGTTGATATATATTGGAATGGTGGACCCAGCAAGGTTGTGAAGGTTTTTGCATGTTGTCTTCACCTTCAGAATGTAAGCTCCTTAAGGGCAAGGGATGTGATTTTTACCTTTCTTTATATCCCTGCATAGTGCCTGGCACATAGTAAGCACTTAATAAATGCTTGTTGACTGACTCTTCCAAAGGCCTTTAAAAACAGAAGGGCTTCTGATCTGTCCTGGAAGGGTGAGGGGTGGGTCTACTTCTGGCCAGAGAGATGTTATAGATGCCATACTTGAACACAAGTCTTCCAGGCTCCAAGGCCAGCTCCCTGACCTTGGCTTCTGGAATTGGTTTCTATTCCATGCTGTTGGAATATTTTCAAACGTGCAGTCTTTTTCAAATTCACTGACTTGGTTCAATAGCAGAGATTATTTTTCCAGGCATAGCTCTAGTCAAAGATCTGGGGTCATTTTATTATATCTCTATCTATCTATCTAATGATCATGCATGAAATGGAGATTTTTAAAAAATCCTTTGGCCACCAGCACTCAAATCATCCAATCAATTTCCCCTTTTCCCTCTGGCCCATCGGTGGATTCTCTCAACTTCAGTCATTTCCTTTTTAAATAGAGCTTTGAACCATTGGCCATGGCTTCTGGCTGGCATCAACGGAGTTATCCAAGCCTTTTATTCTACCAAGAGAAGGCTGCCACAATAATGTAGAATGGGGGGGGGTGGAGAGATACTCTACTTTTTTCCCTTATGCCCCTAAAGGAGAAGAATAGGGTTTGGGGAACTGGAAGGAAGAGATACTTACGTTTTGCTAGGACTCTCCTCAGGATAGTCTGCAGCTCAAAGGCAGAAATCTCCGCATCCTATGGAAACACAATACACAAAAAGATACAACACACATATTGTCAGTTTCTACCTGGAATCATAGTAATCACAGGGCTGAAACACAGCCGGGGAAAGAGAAACTCAACAAAATGTTGCAAGAAGCATCATCAGAGCTTGAAGCCAGGCGCCCAGACAACGTCTCACTTCCCTGAATGTTTGGTTCTTAATGAAGGTACGGTGTGAGATGGTTCTGGTACAGAAGGGCTTTGTCAGTTAGCACAAGGGAACAGTCCCAACCAGCATTTAGTCAGTCAAGCTTTTCCCAATCACTTCTAGCTGGTTTTGTTTGTTTGGCTTTTTTCCATTTTACTCTCCTGCTCCCATACCTAAAGTACCAGCTCTATTGCTGACTGGACCAAGTCCAGGTTTCTCCTCATTGTCTTCAAGGTCCCTGCCTGCTCTTCTCATCCTTATTCATTGCTCTTCACTAAAGATTCTCCCCCTTTATCCAGGGCTGCTGCCTCTCACGCCTTTCTGTTCCCACTTCTATGCCCACTTGGCACATCCTTCTCATTCTTTTGGAACAAATCCCTCTCCTTTTAAAACACAGCTCAACATGGCTAATATGGAAATATGTCTTGCATGACTTCACATGTATAATGGATATCATATTGTTTGCCTTCTCAATGGGTGGGGAAGGGAAGAAAGGAAAGAATCTGGGACTCAAAATTTCAAAAACTGAATGTTAAAAATAAATTAAAAAAAAAAACACTGTTCAGTGGGGAGACTACCAGGAACTGAGGCAGAATGAAGTAAGCAGAATAAGGAAAACAATATGCCTAAGGATTACCTTAAGGTAAATGAAACAGAAAACAAAACATCCTGTTTCACTATAGTGACCCAGCTTGTTCCCAAAGAAGAGTTGAGAAAAGTGGGAGCGAGACTATGGGTGTAGAAAACTGCCTAGAGTATAAGAAATTGCTGATGTATAGGTTTTGCTGAACTGCCTGCTTTCTTTCTCTCTCTCTCTCTCTCCTTCCTTCTTTTCTCTCCCTCCTTCTTTTCTCTCCCATCCCTCCCTTCCTCCCCTCTCCCATCCCTCCCTCCTTCCTTCCTTCCTTTCTTTGTTATAAAGGATAGCTAGTTGGGTAAAGGATGGGGTATCACAGGTATCTATATTTGGAAATGGTGATATAAAAGCAAAAAATGTCAATAAAAGTTTTTTTTTTTAAAGGAAGTAAAACTCACTAAGAATAGCTTATATTCACATAGTTGCTTTAAGGTTTTGAAAGCAATTTTTCACACAGCCCTATAATATTATCCCAATTTTATTGGGAAATCTGATGATCAGAGACATTAAGTGCTTTAATTACAATCTCTGCTAATGAGTATTTGAATAGAGACTCAAACCCTATTTCTTTTGAGGGCACCAACGTCCATCTAGTAACCCAAGTTCACAATGTAGGAGTTGTCTCCCACTCTTTCTTTGAACTTCTCTGCCACTGCTGCCACATTCAATCAGTTGCCAAATGTTATTCATTCCAACTCTTCAACATCTCTTGCATATGATCCATCCTCTTTACTCACACCCCAACCACCTTAGTTTAGGCCCATATCACTTCTCATCTGGACTATGGCTATAGCCTTGTAATTTTCTTTCTTCCTTCAGTCTTCTGTTATCCAGTGCATCTTCTTCTTCTGTTTCTTTTTTTTCTTTTTTGGTTAAGGCAATCAGGGTTAAGCAACTTGCCCAGGGCCACATAGCTAGTAAGTGTCAAGTGTCTGAGGCCAGATTTGAACTCAGGTCCTTCTGACTCCAAGGCTGGAGCTCTATCCACTGTATCTCCTAGCTGCCCCTCCAATGTATCTTCTAATAGCTACCAAATTGTAGGTCTGACTGCATGTCACCGCCCTGGGGCTCAAGAAGCTTCAGTGACCCCCAGTTACCTTTTGAATCAAATACAAACTCTTCTATTTGTCTTAAAGCCCTTCACAGTTGGGCTCTGGTCTACCTTTCCAAGCAGATTACCCATTACTTCTGTTTACACGCTCTGAGCCCAAGCCAAATTGGGCTTGTTTTTAAAATATATACATATAATATGTGTATATATATTACATATACCTTTGCCGTTGCACAGGCTTTCTGTTCACATGGACTGGCTGGACCACTTTTCTTCCTCCCCTCTGCCTCTTGGACCCCTTGGCTCCCTTCAAAGTTCAGATCAAGACACCTTCCCTAACTCCCTCAGTTATTAATATCCCTCTCCCCTCAGACTTTACTTTATGTGTATGCAGAATGTGTACGCACACATATATGTATATGTTGTTGTTGTTTTGTCATTCAGTTGTGTGCAACTCTTCCTGACCCCATTTAAAGTTTTCTTGGCAGAGATAATGGAGTGGTTTGCCATTTCCTTCTCCAGCTCATTTTACAGATGAGGAAACTGAGGCAAACAGGGTGAAGTGACTTGCCCAGGGTCACACAGCTAGTAAGTGTCTGCAACCAGATTTTAACTCAGAAAGATAAGTCTCCCTGACTCCAGGCCAGGCATTCTATCCACTATGCATGTGTATATAGTATGTATGCATATATGTGTGAGTATGTATCCATATTTATATATTCACAGATCTATATATTTATTATCTGTGAATATGATTTAATTCCTCTACCCTCACTAGAATATTAATTCCTTAAGAGCAGGGACTACCTCATTTTTGCATTTTTATTCTGTTCCTAGCATAGCAGCTGGCTCATAATGAATGCCTGTTAATCAATGGTGTATTGTTATTGTTCTCTGCCCTTTACACGCCCATTCCACTGATAGATAATTCTAAGTCGTTAAAAAATTCTTCCTTATATTGCCTTTTAGAGAGGCAGTTAGGTGGTGCTTGTGGATACAGCACTAGACCTGGAGTCTGCAAGTACAGCGTTCAAACCCTACCTCAGTCACTTACTAGCTGTGTGACCCTGGGGAAGTCATTTAACCTCTGCCTGCCTCAGTCTCCTCATCTGTAAAAAATGGGGATAAGAGCACCATGGTTGTATGAGGTTGTGTGAGGATCAAATGAGACAATATTTGTAAAGTACAAACCTTGAGGTGCTATTTAAATACTAGTTAGTTTCATTTTTAAAAATTTCGTTATATAATCTACCTGCCAGTAACTTCTACCTGTTGGACCTGATGTGTTTACATCCAAGTATTCTTCTGGGTTTTTGTTGCTGTTGTTTTTTTTTCCCCCATGTGTATCTACCTTCCTCATTATAGTGTAAGCTCTTTGAAGACTGATTGTGATTCTCTTTGTATTGTCCTCCTGGTGCCTAATATCGCTTTCCACGTAGTGGGCACTCAATGTATACTGGGTGCTGACCACTTACCTCCCCTGCCAGTTGAGCAAACAGTTTTCTGAAATTGTCCTCAATGCCATCTTCATCGACATCATTCTTGAGGCAACGGAGGAAAAGAAGAACAATGTGATAGCTTACTGAAGATAATCTATCTTCTAAGAAACAGAGAAAAGATGCAGGTGCCTGTCCTCATCCCTCAGCTCCTGGGAAGTCTCTCTGTATCCCATTCCAAGCCCCCACTTTCTCTGCCTGTGAACTATGTAGAATGGTTCTAATCACCCTTGGCAAAATTTCAGGATTATTCCTATTGTTTTGCTTTGGTCTGGCCAAGAGCTGAAAGAAGACTGCCTGGGGCTTTCTAACTGAATGTGGGGATATAATTGGATCAAAAGAGACAGAATATCAACTCCCTGGGAAGCAGATATATCGTAATTTCTCATAACATGCACCGTGACTATTACATATTCCTAAAATAACCATTTATGACCAATTCTGCTAAGCAAAGCCATAAGTACCTTAGAATTTCCTTGTGCTACTTTGAAAAGGACTTTGTCAATGGGCAGTGAATATAACCCTTGGGGCCCAGCGTATCCAGGCCTCCTCTGGTTCCTCATTATTCTAAACATGTGACAACCACAGTGGTGCCCTAACAGACTGGAAGTGAACAAATACTTAGCCAGCACAGGCTTTTATCAGTACTACTCCGGACCCTTGGAAAAGAGACAGAAGAGAATACTTAAAAATAATCCTCAAACCATTTCCTCTAGAGTGGAAAAGTGGGCTAGATCTCGAGTCATAAGATCTAGGTTCAAATCCTGCCTCTGACCTACATCGGGACCTCCGGCAAATCATTTAGCTTTTCTGGGCCTCAATTGTCTCATCTGTAAAACGAATGGGTTGGGTTCAATCGGCCTCTGAAGTCCTTTTCAGCTCTAAGACTATGTTCTTCAAGTTCATTTGTGGGGGTTTTCCTTCCTTAACCCTAAAATTTATAATTTATCAAAAATCATGCTAAAGCAAAATGTGTCTGTTTAACCAAATTCTTGCTGCGTCTATCACAGGGTCCCACTCAGAGGGCTGGAAGAGTCATTAGGGATCATTAAGTCCAAGGATTTCCACAGTAACTGGATCACAGAACATGACGGGATATGAAACATATTGATATAACTCAACAAACACCACTCCAAGGAGCTGAGGTGTATAGACTATTTCTGAGATAAAGTGAGAACTGGTGGAAATTTTAGAGGAAAAACGCAGATGATTTTTGCCCTGAAGTAATGACTTCAGGATATACACATAGTTTCGTGTGTCTGTTTTAGAGAGGAATGGAGGGCTAGTATCCACAATTCTTCATGCGATTCCCATCCAAAATGCCTGAAATCCCAAGGGGCTCTGGGACAGTTTGGGAAATACTAGCCCCAATGAGGATTCAGCTCCCTAGCTTTCTAGATGAGGAAACTAAGGTCCAGAGAAGAAAAGCAATTTGCCCAAGATGAGAGATACAGGGTAAAGGCAGCTGGGGAGTAATGGATAGTAGGCTGGCCTCTGAGCCGGGAGGACCTCTGTAAAAATGAGGCTTTCCACTCAGTCGGGGTTGAGGACCCTCCCCACTCCCCATCTTTGATCCTACAACAGAGAAAGGAGAAGAATCATAATAAATACCTCGTCCAGGCTGGCCTCAATTTCATCATCGACAACTCTGGAAGTAGAAAGGAATTATCTATTAGAGGGTGGGAAGTTAAGATGGGGAAGGAGGTGTTTCTGCAATCATTGCTTGAATTGAAGTGAGAAACCTGAAACCAATTTCGCTTCAACCCCTGCCCCCACCTCCCCCAACAAAACCTACTTTAGAGCCTTGGTGTGTGATAACACTTCCTCAAATATCAAGGGTGGAAAAAAAAATCACAGGAAGAAGTCAAGGCCAGAAAGACTTTTAGAAAGTGGGTTTTTTTTTTTCCCTTAAGGAGGAGTAGTTCTTTATCAAAGGATGGGTCAGCATCCCAGGCTGTTTGGAACTCCCAATAGCTCGGCTGTAGCACCTGCCATCAAGAAAGAGCTTTTCAGTCTCCTTTTTAATGCCAATTCCATAAAGTCTCTTCACTTTGCATGACATGCTATAAAATTATCACCTACTAGCTGTGCTCATATGAAGTAAGAGGAAGAAATGAGTGCCTCGGGGCTGTGGCTAACTTGAGTTACTTTGATTCTTTTAAAAGACACATGATTTCATCAATGTGCAAAGCAAAACCCCTCCTTACTTTAATAGACAGTTAGTGAGTCGCTGTGGCCAAAGGAAAAAAAAAATTCCTTCCTTGGTGACTGTGGGCAAATTACTTCACCTCTTAGTTCCCCAAGCAACTATAAATTACTGAGGAGTTGCCTCAGTGGATCATCAAATTATACACTGAGAGGTGAAGAGACCTCAGAAGCATCAGTGGATCATCAAATTATAGACTGAGAGGTGAAGAGACCTCAGAAGCCAATCCCTTCATTCTATAGATAAGGACTCAGGCCTAGGGAGGGTAAATCAGTTGCCGTGTTTATATGGTATTAAGTGTCAAAAGCATTATTTGAAACCAGATCCTCTTGACTCCACGGTACCATGTTGCCTCCTGGAGAGCAAACTCTTGAAGGTATTTCACATACTGGGAGGTCCCCACAATACTGAAATCATGAGTGAATATATATATATTTATAAATACAATAAATATAAATATATGTAAACAGTATAGCAATTTGTACATAATAGATTTTCAGTTTCATGTGCAATCATTTAAAAAATTACACTGTTATAGAAATGCTTGTTTTATCCCATATATTAAAAAGAAAAAATAAATACAAGGTCTTTTTTTGTGTGGTGGGACAGGGAGAGATGCTAACTGTGGCAGAAAAAGAAAGTTCTTATATAGAAAACTGGTGTTTGAATTAAGCTTTGAAATGACCTAGGGATTCCAGGAGGTTGAGTTGAGGAGAGAGTGCATTCCAGGCATGGGGAAGGGACAGCCAGGGAAAAGGTCCAGAGATAAGAAACACAAGGTCATGAGTGAGGAACAGCAAGGCCAGTACATGTGAACACGTACATGAAAGGAAGTAAGGCATAATAATGCCAGAAAAGTAGACTAGACTGTTAAGTTCCTCCAATTAATCTATCAATAAGCATTTAGAGAGATGGTGGATCCAAGGTGGATTTCAGTGGAATGAAGAGGTGGGTGGGAGAGAAAATAGATTTCCGCTAATTAAAAAAAATTTAATTTAAAAGCTGATGCATCTTCTATTTGCCAGTGGACCCAGACCTATCTGTCTTCATATCTAGATAGACATAGGCACAGTCCCAGGCACACAGCAAACACTCAATAAAGGGTTATTGACTGATTGAACACTCCCCACCAGGTAGAAGGAACCTTAGGGGCCAATAAGTTGATCCTTGAGTACCATCAATGGAGCTAATGAATAACTATGAGTATCCTCCAATCAATAGGTAAAGAAGCAGCTGGGAGATGAAGGAAGAAAGAGAAGGGAGGCATGCAGAGAGAAGGCAACGGAAGAATGGGGTGGGAGAGGGAATGAAAAAAGGTCAAAAGACCAAGGGAAGAAAGGACGCCCTCTGACTCTACCCGAGTGCCCAGCAGTTGCTTAAGCCTGGCCTAGAAGGTACACCTGCTCACTGCTAAAGCTGGAAGAGTATTCCCCGGGGGAAAGAGTATCTTGTACCTAGACAGGAAAAGGAAAGGAAATGGGGGAGCTTCTTGCCAATCCTCTGTTCTCTCCCTCCCTGCTCCCCATTTGCCCCACCCTCTGAATTCCCAACATACTGAGAGTCAGTTTTTGTCTCTGAAAAGACTCGGAGGCAGAAATCCCCATTCTTGTGGGGTTCAAAAGTAGAAGGCACGATGACATATTCTCCGGCGGGCAGCTTGAAGCGGTTCAGCACTTCCCGGAGATTGATGAACGTGTCTGACCTCTCCCTTGCTCTTGTCGTCAGAAAGAAGTTTTTGGTGAGATGGAGGTTGGTCCGACCAGAAAACTGATGGGAAAACATAACTAGAGTGAGTCAACCAGAGCACCCATTGCCCCCAGACCTAGGACACTAGTCCTCATTTCCACCTCCTGACTTCCCTGGCTTCCTTCAAGTCAGCTCAAATCCCACCTTCTACACGAGGTTTCCCCCAGTAACCCCCTCCACTATCGGCCACCAGCCCATGGCTAGTGTTTTCCTTATTTCCTATTTACACTGTATATAGCTTGTCTGTGCACAGTAAATTGCATGTTGTTTCTCCCATTTGACTATAAGCTCCTCGAGGGCAGGGACCGTGTTTTAGCTTTTCTTTGTATCCTCAGTGTTTAGCACAGTGCCTGGTATACAGTAAGTATTTAATAAATGCTTGCTGATGAACTGTTAGTGTTGATGGTGATGTTGTTTCAGTCATGTCCAACTCTCTGTGACCCCATTTGGAGTTTTCTGGGCAAAGACACTGGAGTGGTTTGCCATTTCCTTCTCCAGCTCATTTTACTGATGAGGAAACTGAGGCAAGCAGGGTTAAGTGACTTGCCCAGGGTCACATAGCTAACAAGTATCCAAGGCTGGATCTGAACTCTGAAAGATGAGTCTTCTTGATTCCTGGCCCACTGCTCCAAACAAATGTAACATTCAACTCATCTAAGCTATACAGTGACTTCACTACAGTTCACTGTTAAGAAATACATGAATACTACAATAATACTACTCACTACTCGGGGAATTTATTGGGAGTGGGGAGGGGAAAACATGGCTAGATTCGAATCTGAGGACTAGGTTCAAATCTTAACTCAACTGTGTGACCTGCCCATGTCACTTTAACCGTTCTTGGTTTCGGCTTCATCATCTATCAAATGAAGGGTTTGGACTAGATGTCCTTTAAGGTCTCTTCTCACTCTAGCTCTACTGGGAGTCCTTTGTACTCCCCCAACACCAGCAGCGCACTCACCACCCCATCCTTCCACAGAGATCATCTTCAGCCTTCTCTGTGTTTACCTTATCCACAGCGCCGGTATTCTGTCTAATTCTGTGGGCCATACGGTGGCCAAAGCAATGTTAGCACACAGCAGGCATTAACAAACTGCAAACACAGAATCAGAGCCCTGGAGGAGGGCATGAGAAGCTGCTCATGTTTCTTTGCAGTACTGCATCTACTCCCAGGCTGGCCAGCCTGCCTGAGAACAAGGACCAGAATTCACCTGTGGCTTGGACAAAGAGCTATAATGCATCTCATTCTTCTTGCCTTGATACCATTATCTCCTGTACTATGGGCTGCTTAGGGTGCCCTCTTGTGTCTTTACATATATTAGGCTTTTTAAGGGACATCATATAGTCAGTTCTGCTATCACATGCCATGTATGTGTGGCTAAAAATCACTTCACTACGTGAAATTGCACAATCAAAACCACAAGGCTTATGGGGCAAATGAGGTCAGTGCACATTAAAAAAACATAGGAACCTAATAAAAAAGGTAGTTTTATACACGTTAAATGGTTAAGAAATACATAAACACTACAACAAATACTGGCTGCATTTGCTGCCTTGGTCCCCACAAGCCTTGGGCAGACAAAGTTGAGAGGGAATCCTCAGGGAAAGTGGGGAAGGGGGGCCAGGGGCCTTGGCCGTAGGGGAGGGTGGGGCAGTCGGAGGGTATGGGTGTAGACCAGACCTCTTCCACTCCTAACTCTGACACCAAGGCATTTTACCTTGAAAAAGACCTGAGGTTTGCTTGTTTCCACACGAGCTTGGCTGCTCGTGAGTTACTGTGAAGTGGTATGGTTTTCTACATTCTCAGTCTTTCTTTTGGATAAAATTGAGCATAAGCAAATGCGAAAGTTGTGTTATGCTCACACCGTTCCTTGATATATCAGTCAAGTTGGAACAAATCTGAGTTTTTAAAATAAGTGGTATAGCAGAACTGACTACACTATTTGTTTCACTGAATCTCAGGATTGTTGAGATTCACAATGACTTTTTTCTTCATGCTAAGTGAAGCTGAAATCTTAGCAATTAATCAAACAAGCAAGCATTTATCAAGCACCTACTATGTGCTTGGCCCTGGAGATACAAAGACAAAAATGAAACAGTCCTTAACCATCTTATACATTTTATACTTAGCATACAGCAGGGGTTCTTAACTTCTCTTGGGTCACTGGACCCTTCGGCAGTTTGGTAAAGCCTTATGGACCCTTCTCAAAATAATGTTTTTAAATGCATAAAATAAACTATGTAGGGTTATAAAGAAAACGAATCATATTAAATATAGTTATAAAATATTTTTAAAATTAAAAATTAAAATTTTATTTAAAAATTCTAAATTTTTTAAAAAACATTTTTAAAATTTGCAGACCCCCTTGAAATCTATTCATAGGTTCCTTGGGGGTCCGTGGATTCCAGGTCAAGAACCCCTGGTCTAGATGATCAGTTAGTCCAAACCTTTTGTTTTACATATGAGGAGATTTGGACCCTGGAGACTGCAGGCAATCCTAGGACACAAGCTGAGCAGTTACCCTAGAAATCATCCATCCAGGGACTCAGATGAGCTATGTGATAGTAACAATTGACCTCCATCGTGTATTCTTGTTCAGTAGAACTATGACTAACATTTCTGGTGCCCAAGGCAAGTAACACGAAAGGTGCCCTAAGACAAAGGGTTTTTTTTTTTTGGTTTTTTTTTGGCTAGGCAATGGGGTTAAGTGACTTGCCCAAGGTCACACAGCTAGTAAGTGTTAAGTGTTTGAGGCCTGATTTGAACTCAGGTCTTCCTGACTCCAAGGCCAGAGCTCTATCCACTGCGCCACCTCGTTGCCCTAAGACAAAGTTTTCGAGACAAATTCATTCGGGGAAAGACAGACCTCAGGCTTCGGGACACAAGACTCTAAGTTAAGGAAGAAACCCCAGAACACTGCCCTTAGAGGTGGGAAGAGAGGGAGAATAAAGACCCAGGGATAGGTATGAGGAGGAAGCATGGAAGAGCTCACTTGGGTTATGGCCTCAGTGGGAAGGAATTCCACCAGCCCTATTTGGTAGCTTTTTGTTAAAATTAATTGATTAATTAGGTGCTAAGTTCTCTTATGTCTATATGATGGAATACGAGTGCTGCCAATAGCCCTCTAAATGTTGGCACCCTAGGGCAAAGCCCCAGTCGTATCACCCTAGTAACAGCTCTGATGCTCAGAATTTGGAGAGCACATCTAGATACATGTGACACTTCAACTCAGGAAATACTTGGGTCTTGGTAGCCTCACTAGAGAGATAGTATAGATGAGAATGGGTCCCTGAAATTTAGCATCAGCGCCCAATCTTCATATAACTTCTTTTGAGAGATACAGAAGCCCAGGCCTCTTGACTAAACTTGATCCCCAGAGTCAAAGGACAAAATATGTCAGACGTACCTCCTCAGGAACCTGTAGAGAGACACAAGATACAGAGAACACTTGGTCAGGGAAAGTGGACACTTTATTAACTGTGATTGTGTCTTATACTCTTCCTTTCTTGAGAATTTCAAAGAATAATTAATAATAATAATAATAGCTGACATTTATTCAAAGCTTCAAGGCTGATAAAACACTTACCATATATTATCTTATTTGATCCCTCACAATGTGCCCATGAGATAAGTGCTATGGGTACAATTAACCCCATTTTAAAGATAAGGAAACTGCAGTTGAGAAGTTAAATGACCTGCAGAGCATCACACAACTAGTAAGTGTCTGAGGCAGGATCCAAAATCCACTATATCAAAATGGCGACCATATTAACTTGCATGATTCCCACATCTCTGGCCTGGGATTCTGTGAACTCAAAGCACTTATTGATCTGTTCCCCATGCCTTTGATGATGGGGAGGAACAGATATTATTATTATTGTTATGGTTGTTGTTATTATTATTCCCAAGTAAACTAAGGCCTTATGCAGTGTCTTATGTAAGGTCAAGGTCAAGTTCACAGCACAGCCAAGACTCAAACTGAGGTCCCCTAATTCCTAGGCCAGGCTTTTATCTACTATCTACTATAGCTATCCTATCACTCTGCTATTCCACAGCAGAACTGCATCCCTACTGGCTTTTCCCACTCCTCCTGATACAATCTGTCTCTCATTCCCAATACTTACTCCCCACTTCTAAAGCTAGGGCATTTTAAAAGGTGATCGATGGAATGATTGAAGATTATAAAATTGGGTGCATTTCCAACATACTAAAGAACTTTCAGTCCCAAGAATCCATTCTGTGCTCATATTTATCTTCAGTTCATTCTTGATATGCAGACTTGACATGACTCTCACATCCTATTTTTCAGATGGGAATGTAGAAGATAGTACTAAAATGTGGCTTGTCACAGGTCACCTAGGTTGCCAGCAGCAGAGTAAAGAGACAATACAGCCTCTTGGCATCCTGTCTGAGGCAGTGTGGTATAGTCGGAAAAGCTCTGGACCAAGAATAACAGCACACATTTCTTTTTTTTTTCCATTTGAAAGTCTGCAAACGATGAGGCCTCTTCTTCCTTGCCCCGTGACCCTAGGCAGATAATTCGACCTTTCTAGACCTCATATGTAAAATGGGAGAATGATGACAATACCTGTCTTCACCACCTCACAAGGTTAATTTGAGGGACACAATAAAATGCCACAACACAAAGCATTACACCTATAAGTTATCAGCATCACCCGGACAGACTCAATTTCACTAAAGCATCCTGGTTGCCCCACTGTTCCACTTCAATGCTGCCCTGAGACACAAGAGGAGGGGTGGGGGAAGTGCTAGGCCAGTTCTTACAGCCCCCATCCCTGTCTCTAGCAGAACTATTTCAAAACTCAACATCTTTAGAAAGGTACAAACCTTGGAGCAAAGGCAGACAAGATGATGGAGCTGGCTCTGCCTGTTATGAGCTTTGTTCTAAAGAGGAACACGGCTGAAGCACACACTAGGCTATGTCCTGGGAAAAAATGCTTAGTGCTGTGCAACTCCAGTGGGAGTATAATCACCCAATTGTTTCCCTTCTCTCCCTTATAGTCTCCACCTCCTTGGCAACTGGGCCCTAACTAGCCATCCACATGGTTTCCATTGGCTCTGCTCCTGACTTCATATTATTCTTAGAGGTAGCCCTAGGACACTCCGTCCCCAGCTCAAATCCCTCTGGAATTCTTTTCATCCCAAGCTGACAAAGGCAAGAAATGAAACAAGGGGATGTCTTCCAAAGCCTGGCTATTTAACCCTAATAGCACTGGCTCTGGGGACTCTATCAGAGCATCCTGCAGCCCCCTGGTGATCCTTGGCCAACTGTTAGGGCTTCCTTGGGTGAGGTCATTCTAGAAAAAAAAGAGTCCAGTCTAGGTCTGGCCTATGTCTTTGCCATTTCCTAGAACAGACCTTGTTTGCTGTTACAAACTCTTGGGGTTGGTCTCGCACAAAAGTAGGGGGCTTGGGTGATCAGTAAAAGAGGAAAGGGAGGGAGGAAACCTCCAAGTACGATTATTTTCTCACCTCATAGATACTAAAGCCGATAGTGTGCATATCCTCTCCCATTTTCCTTTGGCGTCGCCGGTGTTTCTGGATGAGGCCCACCAGGAAGGTGCATCCTGGCTCGGAGCCATCAGAATCCTCATCCTCCTCCTCCAGCTTGATCATGTATTGAGGGTTCATCCAGAAAGTGTCTGCCATCACACAGAACGACAAAGTATATCACTCAGCTCAGAGGGTAGGGGACCCATGCCGGGAGACCCACCTCCAGTACATACGGACATGAGACATGGCTAACTTGTGGCTAGAAGTGACAGGGGACTGTCATCTTACCTATTCATCCACCCAAAGGACCCCTGGACCTTGACATCTGACCTGAAAAACCTCTGAACCTTTCTATTTGCCCTACAATTGAACTTTCTTTTATGTGAAGGTTCCTGCCCCCATTAGAATGTGAGCACCTATTTTGAACAAGGCCTGTTTTGTCTTTTCTATTTGTATCCCCAACACTTAGTACCGTGGTTAGCCCATGGTAAGTACTTAAAAAATGCTTTTCATTCATTCGTGATTGAACAGATAAAGAATACCTGGGGAATGGAGAAGAGTCGGTCTGTGGCATTTAGAGCTGGGGGTAGTCATGGAAGACAGAGGGAGTAAAGAAGGAGAATATGGGGAATTGAGAGAAATCAGAAGTTTGAGGCAACAGAAAATCACTAATTTGCAACTTTAATTTGGGTGAGTAGTAGTGGTGGTGGAGAAAATGGACTACACACTCATTAGAGTCTAAAACAGTCCTAAATCAGAAACTCTGCCCTATATATTTTTCTTCCTTTCCCCTAAATTTACTGAGCTGTTTGCGGTAATTTTATTTTTTTAAGCTCTGGGAGGGAGAGAGGACATGTGAGACAGATTTCTTGAAATGAAGCCTTTTTCTTGCTAGGCTCTGGACTGTTGCGCCCCCTGGTGGTCTTCTTCCTTTATTCATCTCTGACTTTGAGTGAATGGAGTTACTTAGAAGAAAGCTGATCTGGCTAGAGAAAAACTCGGGGTTACCTTCTTTGGTGCTGACTGGTGACCTGCCAATGATCCTCAAGGCTGGGACTAAAATGGACTTTCCTAAGGCGCTCTGTGCTATCCTATCCCCTCTCCACCCCCACCTCCCTAATCACCCAAAAACACACACACCTTTTCTATCAAAACCTTCTTTCAAGAAAGGATGTATCCAGGGAGAGATAACATGATAAAATGGAAAGAGCAATGACCTTGGTGTCAGAATATCTGGGTTCAAATCCTACCTTGGTCATTTATTCCCTGGGACTCAGTTTCCTTATTTGTAAAATGAGGTAGTTGGACTAGGTGTTCTCTGAGGTCCCTTCCAACTCTAAATCTGTGATCCTGATGGAATCCTAATAAAGCTGCCCCCAGCTCCAATATTCTAACTTCCTTATGGGCCCCACTAAATAGTAGGCATGTCCTGGTTTAACCATACCACGGGCCCCTAGACTCAATACAGCCACTGACCTAGCTAGCCACTGCTCCCAGACCCAATTTACATATTGAACAGGTGTGTTCTTGTACTCAACACAATCACATCATCCAAGATAGGGCCACAATAGCTAGCCAATCAGAGGGCAGCACGACCAGGATGTCTGACCACTGAACCAGAGAAGGGACCCCTGCCCTATTACCTAATCACTTAACAAAGCCCTCCTGCCTTTTAATATTCATAATTTCTGTTATGTAATTGCATCTTCACCTTATAAAAATCCATCCAACCTAGCCCACTTCTGAGGGGTGTCAATCCTCAATAAATGCTTATACTTGGATTAGAGGTGGTCCGACTGACTTCTTTGAGATGGTGCTGCCACATCACGCCATGAAACTGCTACAATCCCACATGCTTTAATCCCCCCCCCAACCTACGGCCCAAATAGCTCTCCTGAACTCCAGTTCTGCCTTGCCAATTGCCTGCTGCATAGCGTTATCATTATTGTATGTTTAAAGCTAGAAAAGGACCTTAGAGAGCACGTGATTCACCCACGACCTTCATTTTATAAAGGAGGAAATTAAGCCCAGAGAGGTTAAGGGACTTGCTGTAGATCACACAGGCAGTAAACAGCAAAGCCAGGATTTAAACCCAGGTCCCCTGATGCCATATTCAGGGCTTTCCATTATACCATGCTGCCACTCCAACGTGGCATGTCCAAAATGGAACCGATGATCTTCCTTCTAAATCCACTTCTGCCATCTTCCCTTCTGCAAATTTCTGTGGAGGATACCACTCTTCTCCCCATCTCCCAGGCTATATTTTAACCTTGGAGTTGTCCTGGACTCCTCCCTCTCCCTCACCATCTATATCCAATCAGTGGCCAAGGCTTGTTGATTCTACTTCTATATCTCTCCCATCCTTCCATCTGGTCCTCTCCACTCACATGGCCATGTCTCTAATACGGGTCTTCATCATCTCTTGCCTTGATGATTGTAATACTGTTCTAATCAGTCCTCTTGCTTCCACATCTCTCCCCTTCCAATCCAACCTCCACACAACTGCCAAAATAAACTTCCTAAAGCACAGGTCTAACCACATTGCTCTTCTGCTCAAAAACTAAAACCTAAACAAACAAAAATCAGTGGCTTCCTCTTGCCTTTTGGATAAATTACAAGTTCCTCAGTCCAGCACTTAAAACCTTCTGCTATCCAGCTTCAGTCTACTTTTAAGCCTAATTTCATATTGCCCCTTTTAATGAATTCTATGTTCTAGCTAAACTGAACTACTAACATCCTTCCCAAAACTGACATGCCCCTAGGTGCTAAAGTGGATAGAGGGGCTGGGCCTGGAGTCAGGAAGACCTGAGTTCCAATCCGGCCTCAGACACTTACTAGCTATGTGACCCTGGGCAAGTCATTTAACCTCTGTTTGCCTCAGTTTCCTCACTTATAAAATGAACTGGAGAAGGAAATGGCAAACCACTCCAATATCTTTGCCAAGAAAACCCCCAATGGGGTCATGAAGAGTCAGACATGACTGAAAAACAACTGACAACATTAACAACTCTTTCCTTTGTGCCTTTGGAAGAAACTACCCTGCATGCCTGGATGACATTCCCTCCTCCTTTCTACTTCTTGGAATCCCAATCTTTTTTTCAGGCTTCACCTTGCATGCCACCTAGAAATACAAGGAAGTATAAAGTCTTCCCTAATCTTCACTTATCCCTCACCCCCAGCTGCCCAGCTGGTGCTTGCTTCCTTCTCAAATTATCTTGCACCATACTTATCTGTGTGTCTAGTATCCCCCTCCTTGCAGTAGAAGATAAGCTCCTTGAGGGCAGGTGTTTTCATTTCTGTCTTTCTATCCCTGGGGCCTAGCATTGGCTTTACCTATCAATCCGCACACCAACAAGTATTTATTAGGTACCTACTAAGTGCAAGGCAAAGAGAGAGTGTGGTGAGGGGATAGGAAAGACCTAGGTTGTGTGAAGCTAGACAACTCACTTAACCTCTCAGTGCTCTTAGGCAACTTTTTGAGACTACAAGTTTGCAGAGAAAGTGCTGATTTGCATTGGTTGAAGGAGTTTCTTATCCAAGAGTCCTCTATACCAGTGAACTGACAGGTCTAGACCCTATCTCTATCCCAGGGGTAGGGAACTTGTGGCCTCAAGGCCACACATGGCCCTCTAGATCCTCAAGTGTAGCCCTTTGACTGAATCCAAACTTCACAGAACAAATTCCCTTAATAAAAGGATTTGTTCTATAAAACTTGGACTCAGTTAAAAGGCTGCACCCAAGGGCCTAGACGGCCACATGCGGCCTGGAGGCCATATGTTACCCACTCCTGCATCCCTATGTGCCAACTGTTCAAGGCACCAAGGATATGAAAACCAAAAAAAAAAGAAGCAACAGCCCCTGCCTTCAGGGAGCTTACATTCTATGGGGGAAACAAACAACATGAACGTGTATAAGTACATACAAACTAAAAATAAGGCAATTTGGGGGGAAAGACACTTATTATTTAACTAACTTAATCAAATTGATTTGAAACTCATTTACACTAAGGTGTAAATGGCAAGGATATAAGTGGACTGTCAGTATAGTGGAAAATAATTTAGTTCAGGAGTCAGGAGATTTGGGTTGTAACAACACCTTTGTCATTAACTAGTGACATGACCTTGGCCAAGGCACATAATCTATGTGGGCTACAGTTTGCGTTATGTGTACTGTGGTGTGATACTGTAGTTTTAATTTCTTTTGAGGACTTGTGAGTGTTTTATTCATTTGGGGTAGCTGGATAGCAGAATGATATTTTTTTGGGGGGGAGAGATGATTGTCCAGAGTAATTTGGGGAAGGGGCAAAAATAAACTACTGCTATGTTTGGAGGCTAGAGCAGGAGATAGATGAGGGTGACTGAAGTCAGAAAGACCTGAGTTCAAATCTATCCTAAGACACTTACTAGCTGTGTGACTCCAGGCAAGTCACTTCACCCTGTTTGCCTCAGTTTCCTCATCTGTCAAATGAGCTGGAGAAGGAAATGGTAAACCCCTCCAGTATCTTTGCCAAGAAAACCCCAAACGGGTTCACAGAAAGTTAGACATGACTGAAACAACTGAACAAGCTTACTGAAGAAAAGATTGGACAGAGGCAAGTTTGGTTGTATGAAAAGCAGTCCAGGAGAGGGACTTCCCTGGTTCCAGCCAGGATGGCTAGAGTGACCTGTCCCTTGGAGTTGTCTAGAACCATGCTCACCTTTAACCACGGAGTTAGAGATGATCCTGCTCAAGGTCTTTACAACACTTACAATGACTAGGGGAGTGCCTGATACATAACACGCACTCTATAAATATCTTTGGAATGAATTGGGGTGAGCAGTGGCCTTATAGAACTGGCCAACATCAACATAAGGTGCTAAAAGAGATCACACAAACAGGAAAAGGACCCACATGTACAAAAATATTTACAGCAGCTCTTTTTGTGGTGGCAAAGAATTGGAAATTGAGGGGATGCCCATCAATTGGGGAATGGCTGAACAAGTTGTGGTATATGAATGTAATAGAATACTATTGTGCTATGAGAAAGGATGAACAGGCTGACTTCAGAAAAACCTGGAAAGACTTGTATGGTCTGATGCTGAGTGAAATGAGCAGAACCAATAGAATGTCGTACACAATAACAGCCACGATGCGCAATGACTAATATTGATAAACTTAACCCTTTCCAGCAATACAAGGATCTAAGACATATCTAAAGGCCTCATGATAGAAAATGCTATCCATATCCAAAGAAAGAACTATGGAGTTGAATGCAGATTGAAGCATGCTATTTGCTATTTTTTTTTTCTTCTGTTGTGTTTTGTTTCCTCTTTCTGGTGGTTCCTCCTATTGGTTCTAATTCTTACTTACAACATCACTAATGTGAAAATATGTTTAATAGGAATGTATACGTATAGCCTATATCAGATTGTGCGCCCTCTTGGGAAGGGTGGTGGGGAGGAAGGGGGAGAAAAATTTTAAACTCAAAAGCATATGGAAGTGATTGTTGATAAATCAAAATAAATTAATAAAAAAAGATGAGGCGCTAAAAGATGTGACTTCCTTCTCTTCTCCTGTGTCCCCTTGCCCTATTTCTCTGCCCCTTCTCCTGAGATTTCTTTTGGAAGTAGTACAAGGTGGGGGCACATCATATTGTTGATAGTGATGACTTACTGACATTTTGATAGCACTTCAAGGTTTACAAAATGCTTCCCTAACAATAACTCTGGGTAGGAGGTAGTATACACATTATGACCCCCATTTTTTTATGGATAAGGAAACCTGAAATACGCCAGTGCCTCACTCTCCTTTCTTTGCCTTTTAGGCTTTTTTCATGCTCCCTTCATAGCTGGCAGAAGGTGAGAGGTATCTGGAGGTTGGGGGAATTGTCCTCTGAGTACTCTCAAAGTGAGAGCTAGATCTCTCTCCCAAGGGTTCAAGTTCTGAATTTTTCTCTTACTTGGGTAGTTCCTGCAGCCCCCTGCAGTAGAACCCCGCCTCCAGGTCCCATCCATCTTGGTGAGTCTCCACTTCTTGTAGGTATCACTGATTAGCGTGTCTGGGGTTAGGTTGCAGATCTCTAGGCGAGAATAGTGCCTCAAGAAGTCACTGAAAGACATCCTGCAGCAGAAACACAAAATAGGGTTTGGCTCAGAAGATCAAGAGAGAGAATCCCTGTGAGACCTTTGAATCTCCCAACATGGCCTCAGAATAATATGAACTGGACAGTCAAAAATTTTCAAAGTGCTTTACATACATCCTCTCATTTGAGACTCTAACAACTCTGTGAGGTTGGTACACTACAGGTATTGGTACCCTTGTTTTATAGATGAGGAAACTGAGATTCAGAAGTTAAGTGTTTTGTCTATGACCACACAACGAATAAGTGTCAGGGTGGGATTTGAACTCTGGGGTTCCTGGCTTCAGGTCCAGGTCTCTATGCACTATACCATGCTGACTCTCAAGGTATACCATACCATCTCCTCTGCATATCTTGTAAGATGCTTCTAGGATTTAATAGAATGGAGGGCACACAGTGGAAGCCCACTCAATCTTTACTGAGGGACTGGAAAGTCCTAGAAATGGTGAGCATGTCCCACTATCACCACTGTATTCTGCTGAGTTCTGAACAGCAGTTTTTGTTTTTTCTCTCTGTAAAGCACCTCAGTATCTTACTCCAATTTAACAGTAAGATGAGGATTAAGCTGTTTCTTGCATTGGACCGTTCAGTGAAGTACTCGGACTGAAAATAGCCCCCATGATCTGGGAGCCCTCAGCCTAATACTCTCATTGCCGGGCTGGGCTTTGTGCTATATAATTTTATAGTAAAACAAATTCTGGAAAGTGTACATCTCTGTGAAGCCCCAAGTAAGCTCACCAGAATTCTCCATCTTCAAATTTCCTGGTTAGTCTCTCCCTCTCATCCGGGTCTATGCTGTTCCAGTTAGAGCAGCTGAAAAGTAAAAGGGGATCAAAGTTAGGGGTGCTAAAAGTTGCTGGTGGGGGGGGAGCAGAGGGAGCAAATTTGCTTCAAGAGTTCCAAAAGCAAGGAAGAGAGTGACATCCATTTTTAACTCTGAACAGGCCTGAAGATATCAAAAGGCAGAGAATAAAACACAGACCAGAGGAGAGAGAAAGAGGAGAGGAAGGAGGGTAGTGGTCAGGAGGGGAATCCAAAAATCACCAATCAGAAGCATGAACAACAGCTACTAAAGGTTTGAGGGGGACAGACATATGGCTTGAGCCTCAAGTTCAAAGAAGACCTCAATGTTAGTAGGTGAAAAAAACCATCAATGTTCAACTATGGGACATGAGCATTTTAAAGGTCTCACTCTGCTTATCATGAATTGATATTGCATGAAGGTTACATTTTTCTTCAGTAATTTGCATCTGAACTGAAAAAATATTAGAAAAGCATGTATTCAATTAAAAAAATTGTATTCCTTTTTGGGGTGACCTGTTTGTCTTTTCTCTCTCCCTCCCTCCTCTTTTTCCTTCTTCCCTCCTCCTTCCTTCCTAAAATAAAAAATCCTAAAATGCTTGCGTCTCTCTACACCTCTCAAAGCCCTAAAGCTATCAGGTAACTTTCATGATGGAGACAATTCTGAAGCATTTGCCAACTCTTTTTTGGGGAGAAAGGCTTAGTGGGGAGAAAATCTTATAGAGTAATTTTATTTAAGTTCATTCTCTGCAACCTATGTGGAAGCAGGGGTGTCTTGGTAAATGTTTAACAGCCAGCTCTCCAAAGAAAGTATGCAGGACATAATTTAAGTTTAATCTGCATTATTGATGTTTTCTCCATTACTCTCTTAAGTCTAGACCATCCACACAACAATAAATCAAGTCCTAATTTGTAGCATTTTCTGATTGTCCAAATGTAAATGTTCACACAATAAAAATTTAAAAATGCATTGGAGTTGGAGCTGGCTCCAGCAAGTCTCTGCGATCCCCACCAGACAGCCTTTCAGGGAAGCTCTCTAACCTGATTTACATTAGTCCACAGAGAGTAGCTCTGGGGCCAAGGCAATGGAAATGATATAACTGTTGGGTTGGAGGGAGGAGGGAAAGAGAGGAGGAGGAATTGGGGGAGAATGAAGAGAGTGTGAAAGTTCTGGAGAAACTAAAACTGGTTTTCATTGCACAAGAGCCCAGGGCACAGCAGACCCACTTGCAGATGTCTACCAAAGGGCCAGCTGCCCCAGGCTCAGTCACCAAGTTAAGAGCCTTGGAACAGAATGAGCATGCTCAGTTGGGGTTTTGAGTCAAGAGCAAGTTTCAATTTCTTGGTGCCTAACAGAAGGGTGAGTTTGAGCCTGGAAAGGGATTTATTCTGGGGCAGGGGGTTGGGGGGGTGGGGTGGGGTGGGAATCATCCTTGCCCAAACTAGGTGAGAAGTACCACCATCTTGTACATTGGATCCCTGGGCCCTGCAAGAAGGACCCAGACTACAGTAAGGATCAGTTTCAAAGACAATGGGTAAGTGCCATCTTATCCTCTGGACCCCATCCAAGTTTGGGGGTGATGATGATAATAACTAACATTTCTACAGTGCTTACTATGTGCCAGGCACTCGTGTGAAGCTTTACACATACTATCTCATTCAACCTTCACAACAATGCTAGAAGGTAGGTGCTATTATTATATCCATTTTATAGTTGAGAAAACTGAGGCTGAAAGAGGTTAAGTATGCTCAAGGTCACAGGGCTGGTAAGTGTGTGAGGCCAGATTTGAACCCCGGTCTTCCCGACTCTGACTAAGTGCTGACAAACAGATTTGTTGAATTGTATTGAATTTGACTCCTCCTCCCCCTCCTTTTCCTCCTACCACTAGCTAACATTGATATAGCACTTACTATATGCCAGGCACTGTGCTAAGGGCTTTACAATTATCTCATTTGATCCTCACATCAACTTTGGAAGGTGAGTGCTTTTATAACTCCTATTTTACAGAAGAGGAAACTGAGGCAAGCAGAGGTTAACTTGCCCAGGGTCATACAGAGAGTAAGTGTCTGAAGTTGGGTTAGAACTCAGGTCTTCCTGACTCCAGGCCTGGAGCTGCGTGCACTATGGCACCACCTAGCTCAGGGGTGGGGAACCTGCGGCCTCAAGGCCACATGTGGCCCTCTAGGTCCTCAAGTGTGGCCCCCTTACTGAATCCAAACTTCATAGAACAAATCCTGTTACTAAAAGGATTAGTTCTGTAAAACTTGACTTAACCAAAGGCCACACCCAAAGACCCTGAAGGACATACGTGGCCTGGAGGCCGCAGGTTCCCCACTCCTGACCGGCTGATGCCCAGAGACACAATATTTCTGTCTTTTAAATCATTTTGGAGAGTGCCTCATTCTTCAGCTAATTTCGTCACAGCCCAAAGCATGAACTCAGAGCATCCCGCTGGTGTACTCCCAGGCAGATTCTGCTCTGAGGTTCGCCATCCTCAGCCCTCCAATTTTAAGCTTCAGCACAAACTCACTTGTCACTCCACTTTCCAGTCCATTCCACTTCTCCCCAGGGGTTTCGGATGCGAATCAGCTTCTGCAGGCTTCCTCTAAACTCCACCTGGTCAAGTTAGATGGAGAAAAGGGGGCAGAGGATAGAATTGAGCCTGGTGTCACACAGGTTCAAAGCCTTCCCCTTTCACTGCTCCTCCTGGGAAGGCTGCCAAACTCCCTGGGATTCATCACCTTTTCCTTATCCCCTTTTCCCTCCAACAACTCTCCATGTACAGGGGCAGGATCACATCATAAGCTGGAGTGGGTTTAAAAAGCTTGGTGTTGGCCTCAACTAATAACATCTCCCGTTTACTTGGTGATTTAGGATTTCCAAAGCACTTTCCTCCCTACACCCCTTTTAAGAGAGGTGGGGTGGGGGCAGCTAGGTGGCGCAGTGGATAGAGCACCAGCTCTATTCAGGAGGACCTGAGTTCAGATCCAGCCTCAGAAACATAACACTTACTAGCTGTGTGACCGTGGGCAAGTCACTTAACCCCACTGCCTAACCAAAAAAACAAAACAAAAAAAAAACACAACAAGAGAGGTAGGATGAGTATTATTATCTCCATTTTCCAGATGAAGAAACTGAGAGACAAAGGGTTACCCCTTTGTGACCTGCCCAGGGTCACACAACTAAGAAATGTCAGAGCTGGGACTTCAACTTTAGGTATTCTGACTCATGTCCTCTATCATAACCTCTCCTTACTGGGAAAAGCAAAGTTATGGCCAGCAGGGTGCTACTTTTACTGCAGTGAGTACCCATAAAATGCCTGTAGGTTTTGAGTGTCCTCAGAGAGAGGGTTTTTATTTTTACTGTTCAATCATTTCATTTGTGTCCAATCTTTGTGACCCCATTTGAGGCTTTCTTGGCAAAGATACTGGAATGGTCTGCCATTTCCTTCTCCAGCTCATTTTACAGATGAGGAAACTGAGGCAAACAAGGTTAAATGATGTGCCCAGGGTTACACAACTAGTAAGTATCTGAGGCCGGATTTGAACTCAGGTCTTCCCGACTCCAGGCCTAACACTCCATCTGCTGCGCCACCTAGCTGCCCCCAGAGAGTAGGTATGATGACTAAATTCATGCCTCCTTGGCCTACTGGGGGATTGAGAGTGCAAACACATCAATTCAACTCCCAGCTCTGACACTTTAGCTCCCTGTGACTCTCAGAATAGCTTTGGCTTAATTGCTTATAATGAGTGAGATACATCTTTGTCATGAACCTTCTGAGAGGTTCTTAAGTTGTGAAAAGAATATTGGATACCCACAAGTCAGTTAACTGTGCATGCCCTTTGATCCAGCAATACCATTACTGGGCATATATTCCAAAGAGGTCAAAGACAGGAAAGGTATTTATCAAGTGTGTGTGTATATGTGTGTACATATGTGTGTACACACATATGTATACATGTGTGTATATGTATATATACATACAGAGAAAGAGAGAGAGCGTTGAGTAACTTTATTGTTATTGTTGCCAAGAACTGGAAACAAAATAGGTGCTCATCAGTTAAGAGAGTGGCTGAACATTTAGTGGTATATGAATGTAGTGGAATGTTACTGTGAGAAATGATAGCTATGAGGGGTTCAGAGAAACCTAGGAAGAACTGTATGAACTGATTCAGAGTGAAGTGAATAGAACCAGGAGAAAAATTTATACAGTGACTACCATTATATAAAGGAAAACAACTTTTGAAAGATTTAGAACTCTGATCAATGCAGGCACCAATCCCAACTTCAGGGAACTGATGATAAAACTTCCTTGTCTCCTTTTTGGTAAAGACGTGATGGAATGGAGATGCAGACAACTGTCAATGTATTGATTTGTTTTTTTCTCACTATATTTGTTTGTTACAAGGGAAGGCTTTTATGGGGGTGAGGGGAAGAGAGGAGTGGGTAGTAATAATGATGCAAAAAAAAAAAGAAAGTAATGTCAATGAAAAACTCACAAAAAATCAAAACACGAGAGAAGACAGTTCAGGAGACATAGATAATAAGGGCAATTTTGTTATTACTCTGTTAAATTTAAGATACCTCTTTAAAAAAAATTCTGAGTAATAGACACTCAAAGTTTCATATACTGTCTCCTTTTTTGTTCTTTATTACATACCAGAATGTTTATGTTTGTTAGTCATTGTTAAGTTCATAATAAAAAAGAAAATTTAATTTTTTTTTGAAAGCAGTGAACTAGAGGTCAGAAATCTTAGGATCAAATTTGAACTCTGTCACTATTGACATCTATGACTGAACCAGTCAATTCAGCTCACTAGGACTCAGTTTCCTTATCTATAAAATAGAGGTAATAATAACCTACCCTGCAGGGCTGCTGAGGGGTCAAATATGAAAGTAATTAGTGAGGTGTCACTGCAATTCTGTTCTAGAAGGGCCAAGGCTTTTGATTTTAAAAATCGTCCTTGTAAGGAGAAAATGGGGCCACCAGAGGGCAAAGTGCACCATACTTAGAAGTCAGCATGACTCAGGGTAGGAAAGTGTGATTCATGTTTGAGTGCCAGGAAATTCTACGGGGCAGCCCTTTTTTAGAAGTGAAATCAGTATTAAGATGTGACTTCTGGCTGACTTGGGCCACACCCTGTGCTGTCCCGGACTAAAGTGTACTTTTAATTTTGACGTTGGTGAGCGTCTCTCTCCTTTACAGATCCTCCCCTGGAAAACAAACAAAGAAACAAAACCTAAATCAAGCCACTGCCCCTGCTGTGGGTAAGTTACCTCTTCTGCTCCAGTGACTGAGTATGCATGTCCTTTCACCAGCTTCTGGAAAGTTACAGCCTCCGAGTCTGCAGCGCTGGTGATCTGGAAAGGCAGGGGAGGGTTACATCCCTAAGCTGGGGAGCGGCTGTCGTTGCTACCTTAGTCAGGACCTAATGTGTAAGCAAAATGGATGGCTGGCTGCCTAGCACTATGATTTTCAGGGCATTAGGAAGGTCTCCCCAACCTGCTACCCTCTGCCTAAAACTCTGGTAACAGGATATAAAGCCTTTCATTCCACAACAAGACACAAAGTTTAATATGCAAATAGCCTGTGGCGAGCTAACATAGTGACTGACCCATAATTCATACTAAGGTGTAAATGACTTCATCAGCTCCTTTCTTGAGAGCAGGACTCTGTAGTGGGAGAGAACATGAGATCGCTGGGTATCTCTAGGGAGTAGGGGGAGAGAAGGCACATGAAAGGCACTTGGTGTTTGAAGACAAACTTGGCTACATTGCAATCTGGGCCACAGTCTGCTCTAACCTAACTTAGAGACGTAGGCAAGTCTTGTGGTTTAGAGCAGAAATCCTTCAAGTGTGATCTGAAGGTCAATAATTGTCCACAAGGGAGTCCTAGAGGTGTTCTATGAATTATTACTAATTTTTATTTATTAATTATTCCATTTAATTAATTTATTAAAATTTATTTGTTTATTAAATATTTAACATTATTTCATTTATTAATCATTTATTTTCATTTATTAATTGTTTCTTTTTTAATATTATTAATGTTTTAGTATTATCATTAATGTTTATAAGGCTACAACATCTGTACTTTGGTTTTTGGCTCAGATTAATAATTTACTTAGAATCACACAGTCAGGGGTCTCTATTGTCTCATCTAACACAGAACAATTCTCTGCCTATCTTGTGAAGGGTGGTTAGGGTGTGTTATCTTTTCTTTGGAAGTGATATGAATAGGTGCCTTAGATAATCCTTTCTGAACCCCTGCCCTAAAGGATTACAGAGAACTTTAGGGCCATAGCAGAAGTGGGTCCTTTTCTTGGGACTGGCCACTTTGTGACCATGTCCCTGGTCACTGGCTTGATCTGGGCCTCAGGTATTGTTGCTGAAGTCACCCCTCTCCTCGTGGGGCCACTGCCCAGGACATCCTGCTCCCTGTTCCCTGATGAGGTTTTGGCAGCAGATGCTGCGACTCAGGAAATGAATTTTTTGTGCCTTCTGAAATCTCCCCACAGGTCCATTAGCCCTGGAGCCTGCTTGGGAATAGATGTTTGGTGCAAAGAAAGGAAGGTGCATGAGTTGCTGGTTTTGCTGACCCAGAAGCTCTGCTAGTATCAGATTAAATGCTTTGGGCTTTTTTCCTTCCTGCAGCAATGGGAGACTTGGTTTCTGAGGGGGCGGTCACTTTAGGCTTAGGCTGGTCAGACATGAATTTCAGGGGCAACACATGCACTCTAGGGATATGTGGGTCTTAGAAAAATTTAGGGGAGATTAAGAACACGGAAAGAAGTTGGGAAGGAAGAGAGAAGCTGCTTCTTCCTCAGCTGCACAGAAGACAGACTTTGATGTTGCCTAGCAGCCCAGTTGGTCTACATAGAAAACAATAATGCCTGAACAACGCCTGAAGTGGACTTGGTAAAGTGGGGGTCATCCAAGAGTGGAGAGAGATGGATTTCAGTGAGGGAGAAGGGTGGAGGATGAGAGGGGCTCCTCTCAGCACCAGTGGACACTTACTTCAGTTAAAGGGAAATTGGAGGACGGGGTCTGATGTAAACAGAGGAGGATAAAGGGGAAAACAAGATAGAAGGAGTAGACTCTCACATCAATAGAACAGCCAAGGAGAGAACCCTTCTGCAGGGCCTTCTGGATGATGGTGAACAAGTTGTCAGGGGCCTTCCTCAGCTCATACCACTCAGCTATCCCACCAGTGAAGTCCTCAAAGCCCTCTGTGGTAGCGCCTCCTGAGAGAGCTTCGTAACATCCGTTGACCCTGTATAAAAGCAAGAATGATCACTAGCATTCATATAGTGCTTTAAGTTTACAATGCGCTTTACAAATATTGTCTCATTTGATCCTCATAACTACCTTGGAAGGTAGGTGCTATTATTATCCCCATTTTGCAGATGAGGAAACCGAGGTAGCCAGAGGTTAAGGGACGTGCCCAGAGACATACAAGCTAGTAAGCGTCTGAGGCTGTATTTGAAATCGGGGCTTCCTGACTCTGGGCGTGGGGCCAAATTCACTGATCCACCTATGTAGAAGTTTGTATTCAAAGCAGTCTCCCCTCATTACTACCTCTTAAAGTGTAACAGAAACATGACGTGTTGTTAACTTCTCTAGACTTAGATGCTCCAAATGGTGGGAAGAGCTAAAGCAAACGAGTGATCAGAATGAGGTCTTTCAGGTGAGAGCCAGTCTTGCCTGAGTAAGAAGCTGAGTCCTAGGGGCAAGATCCATACCTAGAGATCAAAGAAATGGGAAGTGGCACTGAGTGTGGAGATGTGGGAGACTTGTTACTAATCACTGACATGCTATATGATTTTAGGCAGGTTGCCTCAGTTTCCGTATCTGTGAAATGAGACTAATGAAGCTCACCAGAAAGCAGTACAGCAGAGGAGAAAGGCCCCACTGGATTTGGAGTTGGAGGACTTGTGTTCCAATCCCGTCTCTGTTACTTACCACCCAGGAATTTACAGTTTGGCCAAGGAACTTCACCTCTCTCCACATTAGTTTCCTCATCTGTAAAATGAGGGAGTTGGACTATTTGGTTTCTAGCTCTGGATTTATGACCCTAGGAGTCTTCTGAGGTCCTCGGTTGAAAAATATAACATCAATGTTCTTCTATTTTCTACTGTTTTAGAAGTGACGGGGATTTTAAATGAAGATTTCAAATCCAGCATCATGACTGAGAATAGTGGTCAAAGTACTTCTTACACATGAACAAATGCTGCCATAAGTTCCATTTTGGTAGCAGAGTTTGGCTGAACCCCATGCTGCCATCTTGGATCTTGGGAGTTACTCACTTGGCATAGGCTTTTTCCAGGAGGGCGCTCCAGAATTCACTTCCCTCGGCCGAGTGGACAAAGAGCAGCTCATCATTCTTTATGGGCAGCCTGTCATCCACCACCACGTCTACCCACTCACCATACTGCCAGAACTGTAAGGCAAGAGGTAGCTTGTCATTGCTGAACATGGAGGTTGGAACCAGGGTGAGTAGCACTATGGGACCTGGGATTATGGCCTTTGCAACCTTGGACCCTACCTCACAGTCCTAGCCCTCTACAGGGCTAAGGGCCACAGAAGGGCATATAGGCTCTCCCTTTATGAAAATATCTCCCTACCCTTTGGCAAAGGGAGGGCATTGGTTCTTCCTTTATGAGCATATCTCCCTACCACTTGGTCTGCCATCAAGCCTGTCTGAGAGCAGAAACAGCTCACTTCCTCTCCACTAAGCTCAATGCCACCCCAAACTCTTTGCCTTTAGCTTAATTTAAGGAGTTCCTCATTAGTCAGTACAGAAAAGAAGAAAGTGAAGAGAAGCTGAAAACTTCATAATAAATTTTTTTTTTTAAATTTAGGAGTTGATTCCTTTTGGCTCCTCCTTTATCTCCCATATTTCTTTTAAATAATATTTTTTCCCCTCTGTTACATGTAAAGATACCTCCCATCTTCTTATGGTCATTTCCACCTCTTTGCAGATCTCTGGGGGTTCATTTGACGGCCAGATGAACATGTGCTATCTCATAATAGTGATAGGGACTAGACCTGTGATTTCATTGGTATAAGGAACTCCCAGATGAGAAAATCCCCTTTCCAACAAAGATCAGCGCCATTGTAATTTATAACTGGAGATAGTTGCCTAGAGTAATAGGTAATCTGCAAAAAATGCTTCCAAGTGCCTCAAACTACTGGAAAATATTTAACAAAATAAATAAAAAACACAGATAACATCAATATGTATTTCCCTAAATCAATACAGCCCAGAGGGCTCCTTAAATCTCTTCTTTTAGTGGTCCCCTTTTCTATTTGAGTTTGACTCCACCAACATATGTCAAAAGAGAGACTAGATTCTGACTATGAGAGTTCTGAGTTCCACTCTCCAGGGCAAGGATTCTACCCGCTGAGTTACACTGCCCTTGGGCAGCTCAGTTTATGAAACCCAAACAAGAATCCTTCTCCCCACCCCCTTGCCTTCCCAGCAGCATCAGGGCTACAGGTCTGGACTGGTAACACCAAACATGGAGGAATTCTGCTTAACTGCCTGCCCCTCTGGGGATACATCCGCACTGATGAGAGGCCTGGGAACCATTATGAAGTTACCTGAAAATGGAAGATCCCAGCATAGTTTTCCTGGAAGCTTTGGTTTTTAGGAACCACCCTGGCCAGGATTTCTTCATTCAGGGTGAGGGAGGCGATGGCTGCCAGCAACCAGCAGTCACCTGTGAACAAAGCCCAAGAAATTCTTGTCAGTGTGATTATTCAAGACTGTCAAATATTTATGGATCTCACACAGCATGCTAGATACACCACAGAACTGCTTGTGACATTGTCTCAGCCTTAAGGAGCTGATGTTCTAAGCCTGCAAGAGAAAGAAATATTGCAATACATTCTTTTTCGTTTCAAGTGTATTTGTTTTGGATAGTTTTAGGGATAACTGGGAAAAAAAACTTTTTGCAGTACTGAGAAAAGAAGGAATTTATTGTCCCCCTTTCAAGCCAGGCTTCTGAGGAGACAGAATCTGAGGTGAATTTTCATTAAGGCAAAGATTCAGATCTGTAGTCAGAGAATCTGAATTTGAATCCCAGCTTTGCCCCTTAGTAGCTACGTGATCCTGAGCAAGTCATTTTACCTCCATAAGCCTCAGTTTAACTCACCTCTAAAACGAAGGGGGCTGGGCCAAATGATCTCTAAAGTCCTTCTCAGCTCTAGATGGTACGCATCTATGAAAACTGACTTCAGATTGACCCCTGGCTCTGCTCTTTAATACTTGTGTGGGGTTTTGGACAAGTCATTCTTCTCTCTGGGTCTCAGTTTTGTCATCTGGATAGGATAGTAGACAGAGCCCTGGGGGCCATCTCCAGTCATCTTGATCTATATCTGGCCAATGGACCCAGATGGCTCTGGAGGAGAAAGTGAGGCTGGTGAACTTGCATAGCTCTCCCTCACCTAAATCCAATTCACTTGCAAGTCATGGCATCATCTTCCTCATGTCATGGTCATCTTGGAGAACAAAGGACAAGACTTGAGTTAGGAAGACCTTCGTTAAAATTCTGCCTCAGATACTTACTATGTTGGACCCTGCGCAAGTCACTCTGAGCCTCAGTTTTCTCATCTTTAAAATGAGGAGGTTGCACTTTATGGCCTTGAAGGTCCCCCAGCTGTAAATCTATGAGCCTATGAGATTTTCCAAGCTCTTGAGAAGACAATGACTACCAGGAAAGTGATGCCATTATGTAAGGCAAAGGTGATCATGAACGGACTTTCTCCCATCCCAAGGGGCAGGAAGCAGACCCGATTATGGTTAGAGAGTGGAGCCCTCCAGGAGTTTATGTAGGTAATGGAGAGGATATCCCTTGTGTCCACATGTAAGCAGCACAATGCAGCTTGCAGATGCGTGGTTCATGCATTCCTAGTTTGTGGTGTCAACCCCATTTTGAGATGAAGTCAGAAAGAAAGACAACAGAAGGGACAAGTAGTTGTTCTAGTACAACTACCAGTCTCTCTGCTGGCCAGGCTGCTTCCTCAAATCACTTTTAAAATAGCCTGGAAAAATGTGAGAGTCAGTGATTGCACAGATGCCAGCTTGGAGGAGGGGTCTTCATGTACATAAATTTAGTTCGGAGTGGGGGGAGAATCATGAAGTGGTTTGAAGAGTCACTCAGATATATTTTTCTTGACTCTGCATATTTGTTGCATGAGTTTTGTTTTGTTTATTTTTAATAGTGAGTGGGGAGATGGAAAAGAGAAAAAATAAATATTCACTGATTAAATATTTAATTAAAAAAGTTGTATCTGGAGCCAATTAGCATGAAGTAGAAAAAGGCCCCCAGAGCTCTACTTTACACCCCAAATGTCAGTGTAAATAATGACCTGCCATTGGGTGAGGGCCCCTAGGAGCTACTGTGTTGAGACAGGGGTCCGCTTCTTCTTAATCTGCTCCAGGGTTCATAGGGTCAAAAACTGAGAACAAGCAGGAACCTCAGGGACCATCTTTTCCAACTCTCTCATTTTGCAGATGAGGAAACTGAGGCCAAGGGAGGTTAAATGACTTGCCCTAGATCACACAGGGAATAACTGTCAGAAGTGATATTTGAACCCAGATCCTCCAACTCCAGAGTCAACCCTCTTTCCATTGCACCCCTGGTTTCTGTCAAGTTACCATGGAGAAAAACAAACAAACCCATAAGTTGAGGAAAGATTTGATTCACTACAAATCACCAAGCAACTACTAGGTACAGAGCTCTGTTCTAGGCACTAGGGATACAACGATAAAAATGGCAGCCCCCAATCTTACGTAGCTCACATTCTATTGGGAAAAGAGATAGAAAACTTTTGGGGGGAAGGGACAAGAAAGGTTACACAGAAGAGGAGGCAACTGAGATGAATCCTGAAGGATAAGGATTTTGAGGGCAGAGATGCCTCCATGTATTACTGGGATTAATTAGGAGAATTCCAAATCAATGTAAGAAGTCCTTTCAATCAACTTAAACAGACTACAGTGCATGGACTTTTCCCAGAAGGGGATGCTTTTTTTAAACTACTATTTTTTATTTCTAACATCCATTAAAAATTTTTCTTGAGTTCCAAATTCTCTTGCTCTCTTGCCCCTCCCTCACCCATTAAGAAGGCAAGCAATATGACATCAATAATACATGTGAAACACATCTCCATATTAGCCATGTTACAAAAAACAAAAAACAAAAACACAACAAAACAATAAAAAGCAAGAAACAAAGAGAGTGAAAAAAGTATGATTCAATCTGTTCAAAACTTCCATGGATACAAAGGAAGGAAAAAAAAAACAAACCAATCCCTGCCTTCAAAGAGCTCCCAGTCTAATAGAAGAGACAACATGCCAGCAGCTGTGTCCAAACAAGCTCTATACAGTATGGATGGGAGGCACCCTGAGAGGGAAGGCTCCAGCAGTTTTGGGGACCAGGAAAAGCTTTTTTTCAGAAGGTGAGATTTTAGCTGACACTCTTTCTGCCTCATTCGTGTAGAGAGGAGAGCATTAGTTCTTGAATCGGGGAGACCTGGGTTTGAATCCTGATCTTGACACTTATTATGTCTGTGATCCTAAGCAAGTAACTTAACCTACCTGAGTCTCAACCTTATCTGTAAAAATGGGTACAATTACAGCACCTACCTCATAGAATTGTTTTATCACTTAAGATAATGTATATATTTTTTATGCTTTTAAGGTGTTATATAAATGTTACTATTATTATACTATGGTACAGCTCACCAAGGAAGAAAAAAAGTAGGTATGTATTAAGCATCTACTATTTGCCAGGCACTGTAGAAATACTTCATTTAATCCTCACAAAAATTCTGGGTAGAGAGGTGCTATTATCATCCCTATTTTACAATTGAGGCAACTGAGGCAGATGGAAGTTAAGTGACTTACAACAAGATTTCAAACATGGTAGAGAGTGTGAATAGTGGTTCCCCAACAGGTTTCAAACATGGGGAAAAGTGTGAATGGTGGTTCCATGGACATGGATAATGGTGAAATTAGATCAATGATCTGGTACACTGGAAAAGATAATGGTCTTGTGTTTTAGAAATGTTGAGTTTCAAATCCATTTAATTTAACAAATATATTAAGCCCATACTAGGTGGAGGGAACTCTTCTATGAAATGAAAATAACAAAGACAAAAATGAAAACCCTCTCTGCTCTCAAGGAGTTTACATTCTAGAATCTAATGTGCTCATGGGACATCCAGATGGAGATGTTTTATAAGTAGCCGAAAATGGAGCTCTGTAGCTCTATAGAAAAGAGGTCCTGAGGATTTCCCAACCATTTATCTCTCATTTCATCAACAGCATACTTCTGACCATACATATATTTTCAACAGAATGAATCAAAGACTTTCATATTCATTTTGGTGAGGACATTGCTACACTCAAGATTTAAGGGATTATTCATTTGACTCAGTCCTCTCTACACTGAGCAGGCATAGTTGGGCATCTGTCTCTGAAGGAATCATCCTACCTCAGATTACTGCTCACCAGACAGGCCTGTCTGCTGTTCTCACTACCCCTTAATAACCCATGGGAAATGATTGAAGGCTGTGTTTCCTGCTGTTTCAGAAGCATCACTCCTGCCTACGCTCTTTGGCCGGGAGCCTTACGTTTCTCGGCCATTCAGTTTAGTTTGCTTAGGTATTCAGTCATCATCCCACAATTTTCTTTCCTTCCTTCCATCTGCTGTTCTAGGCATCCCAGCATTCTCCCGTCAGATATAAGAATTCTTGAAGGTCAGGGCTGGAAGGTACTTCAGAGATCGGTTCCGCTTGCTTGCTTTATGGATGAGGAGACCAAGCCTCAGAGTGGTCACATGGCTAGGCAATGGCTGAGCTGGGTCTAGAACCCAGATCTCCCACTTCCCAATCTAGTGCTCTTCACTACATCACAAAACGATCTTTATGCTCACAGCATAAGTCCTCCAAGGGAAGGGGAGTTGGTTGGCTACTTCTACAAATCCTGTATTGTTTCTTAACATGATACCCACTGTTTCATGCAATTTTAAAAATACATTAAATATTCAGGGTAATGCAAGTAATTCGTGCAGCAGTAGAATCAGGGCCCTGTTCCAACTCAGCACTAAGACACCCTCAAACCGCTGAGCAGGATGCTAGGAAGCCGAATTCAAGTAGTTTACATCCATTTTACAGATAAGGACACATTCCAGACTCTTCTGAAGGCTCCAACTTCTTAATATATCTAATTATTTGTAATCTCATTTAAGGTATCTGAAGGTTTTATTACAACCAGGCCCCTATTAGTGTAAATAAGGAAGCCCCTGAAGTGGTTTGGTCTGGTCATATTATTTGAGTCCACAAGGCATATTTCCACTGGGCTGGAACCAAAGATCACATTTTACATCATTGTTACTTCGAACAGTGCAAATTTGAATTCCTGGGACCAGTTCAGGAGATGATCAGTTACACTAACTGGGACGTAACTGTACTTCCCACCTCCTTATTTACCCCAAACCTGAAAGCACTATGTAAATGCAATCTATTCTTTTATATGGGTAATATTATCCCCTTTAACAGATGATTGGGTCATAGATGTCAAATCCAACCCCTTCATTTAACAGATATGGAAACCGAATTTCATAAAGACAAAGTGAGTTGACCAAGGTCAGGAGGCAAGTAAGTATCTGAGGCAAGACTAGAACTCTGATCTTTCTGATAGGAAGTCTATCCAGTA